GGCAGACAAAGCAGACAAGTGAAAACCTAGCCTGCCTCTTCCGAAGACATAGAAAACCTAGTTAAACTGTGAATGACATTTATTTTAAACACGGTTACTTAAAAAGTAACACAGGGAAAGTTCCTGGTGATGGCCCAAAGAGGAACTCTAAAGCACTAAGGGTAAAAGGGGAGTTTAAGTGTTGAAGGGAACCAGAACTTCAGCACACACCAGACAGGAGGCAAGGCTGCTGTGTCAGGGACAAGGAGCCTGAGAAGTGTTGTGTCATCATTAAACACCTTGGCTGCCAATGAAGACAAGGAATTGGTTGTCAGCAGTGGGTGGAAACAATCAGCTAATCTGCCTACAGGAGCACAGGGTCAGAAGTTACACACAACTGATTTGGTGTGGAAACCCCCAAACCTTGATACCAATGTGGAAATTGGTTTAGAACCTGGAACCATGAGAAGCCCTGACAGGCAAGCACAAAACTGGCCCCTGGGTTGCCACATCCATCCAGGGCACACATGGGACTACTGCAGCAGACAGTTCCCACTAAAGGGAAGCTCACAGGCAAAAATTATAAAACAAAAACAATTTTAAAAATATGCAACAAATGGGAATAGCAAACTGAAAAATGGCCACTAGATGTATTTCAGCAAGAAGGAAAATATGGGCCAGCCCCAGCAGTCTAGTGGTTAAGTTTGGCGCACTCCACTTTGGCAGTCTAGGTTCAATTCCCGGGTATGGACCTACACCGCTCTGTTAGCAGCCATGCTAACAAATGAATCTACCTCAGGGAAAAAAAAAAAAAGTAACATGAAGGCAGGAGTGGCACAGGAGAAACGAGGGAGCAAAGAAATCCATAAAATGTTAGTAAAATTAATAAGTCTTGATAGTTTAAGAAATATTAACAAGTAAGCAAACAACCAAAGTTTTCTGCAAAAACTGGGTTCAAAAACACAGTAGTATTTTCCCCTAGGACTTGGCATTTTATTTCCTGGATATTGAGTCTAAAAACTTGCACACAAGTGTACGAGGATGCATATACAAGAATGTTCACAGCAGCAAGTTCACAATAGCCAAAAACTAGAAACAACCCAAATGTCAATCCCCAGTAGAACAGATAAATGAATTGTGGAATATTCATAGAGGAATACTAGACAGCAATGACAACAAGTGACCTGCACCTACACATTACAACAGGGATGAATAATATAAACATAATACTGAACAAAATAAAAAACATTAAAAAAGAATATATAATATGATTGCATTTTTATAAAGTTCAGAAACAGGCAAAACTCAACTATCTTGGTTTAGGCATACATACAAAAGTGGCAGAACTAAATAAAACAAGGAAGTAATTAACATAAGTCAACTAATGGTTACCTCGTGGGGGAAGGAACACATGGTGGGTGGGAGAGGCCTTTCGGAGTGTTGGTGAAGTTCTATTTCTTGGTTGTTGCATGGGTGTTCACTTTATAAGCATTTATTACACTAGACATTTATGGTTTATTCCATTTTAGGATGTCTTATATTTTACAAGAAAAAGATTAGTGAATAAATTAAAAAGAAAAAAAGGAAAAAGAACAAAATTGCATTCAAGGCAAGAAGCATGAGTAGCAATAAAGAGATACTAATCAAGAAGATACTATCAACTATGAATTTATAAGTACTTATAAAATAGGCTCAAAATATATAAAACAAAATTAGACAAACCCATAGAGAAATCTGAGTTCCATAAACTAACAAATCAAGCAAATAAAAAATTGATAGAAATGAAGCAGATTTAAACCACATAATAGCACTATATATCAAATAGAGATTAGACTTTTTTTAAAGAACATGTGGAACATGTATAAAATTCATCACATGGAAAGCCACAAAAGTCTCAAAAATTCCAAAGATTCAATACCAAAAAGACCATATTCTCTGACTACAATGTGATAAAATTAGAGAAAAATAATAAAAACCTAAGAAATCCTACATATTTTCAGACTTAATACTTCTAAACTTCCACTTTTAACCAGGATAGAGTAACAGAAACCAAATTTACCCATTTGGGGGCCAGCCTGGTGGTGCAGCGGTTAAGTGCACACATTCTGCTTCAGCAGCCCGGGGTTCGCCTGTTCAGATCCCAGGTGCGGACATGGCACCGCTTGGCATGCCATGCTGTGGTAGGCATCCCACATATAAAGTAGAGGAAGGTGGGCATGGATGTTAGCTCAGGGCCAGTCTTCCTCAGCAAAAAGAGGAGGATTGGCAGCAGTTAGCTCAGGGCTAATCTTCCTCAAAAAAAAAAAGTACCCATTTGCCTGTACCAACAAAAACTAAAATCAAAATACAACAAAAAACAGGCAAAATACATGAAAATGACAGTTTTCAAGACACTGGATATCAGGCATATGTCCATACAAAGACCTGAATATAAAGGTTCATAGTTATCAAAAATTGGAAGTAACCCAAATTTCCATCAACAGGTAAACAGATAAACTGTGGTATAGTCATACAATAATACTACACCGCAATAAAAAGGAATGAACTGTTAATAAATATAACAACATGCAAAAATCTCAAATTATGCTAAGTGAAAGAGGCCAAACAAAAAAGAACATATTGTATGATTCCATTTAGATAAAATCCCATAAAATGCAAGCTAGTCTATAGTGACGAAAAACAGATCAGCTGACGCCTAGAGACGGGAGGGGATGAGCAGGGATTATCCAAGGCAAAGAGAGAACTTTCGGAGTGATGGGTACATTTATTATTGTGATTGTGGTGATGGTTTCAAAGGTGTATATGTTTATCAGAAGTTATCAAATTGTATACTTTAAATATGTACTGTTCATTATATGTCAATTATACATCAATAAAATTGTAAAAAAATCAAGAGCTAAACAATAATTGTAGATCTTTACTTATATTTTAAATAACTAAAACTAGACAAAGGTAGACCTGATAGAGAGGCCTGCGGCTGTTCCTTCTAGTGGCACTGTCTCTCTCTGTAGCCCTCCAAGGAACTCTTAGGCCTCTGAGGAGGAGTTTGAAAACCTCTGTTTCAAGCTGTTAACCACAGACTCTCAAACTAGCTGACAAAATTTAGATTGGCATTATTTTTAAATTACATTTCTTCCTTTCAAATACTGTTACATTTTATAACTGTCTCATAGCAATTTCTTGGAGTAATCTAATCAACTCAGAGTATTTACATTATGACTATCCAAATACTGTTTCTATACATCCGTGAAAGACACAGGTTCTTTCACAAAGTGTAGTCTAGTGTTTAGAAATGTAACTGCAGGCTAACAAAACAAAGAATTTTAAATCTAGAAAGAACCTGTTACTGCACAAAGGGCACGATCTGCTTGCTGCAAGACAAAAGCCAAGAGGCAAGATGGTGGCAGAGAAAGGGCATTTTATTGCAGCTTGCTAGCAAGAGGGAAGGTGGCCCACTCATGTCCAAAACCACCACCTGAAGGAGGCACAGAATCTTGAAGCGGTTATATGGGCCAGTGGGTTATGGGGCAGGGGTTAGGAATGTTGACCCTCTGGTGTTACCAGATCTTTCAGTTTTCACTGATGGTGACAGTCAGCATAGACTCTCTGTTCGGGTGTCATCACATTCCTAAGGAACTCCAAGGAATGAAGCTATCGTCTTATCGCAGCTGGGAGGGACATACACAAGCAGGGGTCATAAAATCTACAGAGCAGGTGGATCTCCTGGAGGGTGCATATCTAGCCAGGTTAGTTAGTCAGAGGTCTCTCAAAGTTACAATATGGTCTCTTTTCTACAATATGGCTTCCCTTATGTCAAGCTTGGGTTGAGGTATCAAACTTAAGACATTATTTTATATCTAATCCCTAAGGTCACACCACCAAGGATCTGGATGCTACCTACTGACATTTACTCTCTCCATTCCACCATGCTGCTTCCTGGAAACTCTTTACCATGTTCTACATGACAACAAACAAGAATAACTGAGAAGTCTTCCTAGGCCTGCTACTTATAAACAGGGTAGGGGCAGTGGCACTAACCCAAAGTGGCTTGTACTTATAGATATGAGGCACAACACTGGTCCCTTAAGGAAATCAGACTGAATATTAAGAACAGAGAATAAGTAGAAGGCAGCAAGAAAAGTACTCTTACGTAAAATGCAGCAAGTGTGAACCAGTTGCCTAAGGAATGCTCAGCCTAGTAAGAGAATATGACCTACTATTTGTGAGTAATACAAATAAGTCACTGAGGACACTTACGTTTGGAAATTCTTTACAAAAATTTTATTTAAGATCTCATGCCCTTATAAAAAGTACATTACATCAAGATTGCAAAAAAGACACTTTTTTATAAAAGAGAGACTATCTACTATCTATTTACTCATCTGTTTCACTTCATAATTCATTTCCTACCCCAAAACAATGATAAAACACTTTCTCCCTCTTCCTTTCCTTCCCCCTGCTTTGAAAGGGCACGTGCCATAAGGGATATAATAGAATGTGCCATTTCCTTGCCAGGAAAGCAATAGCTTTCTACTGGCTGGATGTAAGAGAGCCATTGGCATTCCTTGTTCCCAGAACCAAAAAGGTCACTAAACCCTGAACTTAAATATAACTTTTCTATTACTTGCAATATCTCTCCCTGAGTTTCTCTTTTACTCACACACTATACTTTAAAACAATCTTAAATTTTAAGCACTCAAGAATTGCTTACGAAATGATTAAAGGATCTAAAGTTAACTTACTTCTTTAACTTAGCAACTGTTTTCTACATAAGAACTCAAAGTTAAAAATTACATGGATGGACAAGGACCCAATTCTAAGAAAGGGATGAATTCTCAGAGTAAATACATTTTTATAACCCTTGTCTCAAAGTAAGATCAATCCTACAAAATACTTAGAACGTTAAGAATGCAATTTACACAGTAAAAATTATTTGATTTGTTTTCAGTATGAAAGTACTTTTAATTTCTTTACTGCAGGTACAATGGCATCCAAGTCATCAATTTCTGTAACAGAAAAACAAGAATAATAAAAGAGTAGCTTTATCTAGTGACAGACTCAGACGAAATGAGAATCTCTATGCAAAGGCAAACCTCAAACACAAAGGCAACAACACTAGTGCTTTTGGGCACATGAAATTTTCTCCAACAGTGGTGATAAGAGTATCAGTGACTCAGACACAGATGTTTCACAGGGCATCTGTCTGTATAGCTACCACCTACCTACAAGCATCCTCTAAGTGTGATATTAATCTCATTAGCAATGTGCTCCTATTAACAGACCCTACTGGCCACATTTACGATATTATGCTATTGCCTCTTTAAGTCTCTGTGGTTACTTGGGTGAGCCCACATAGTGAAATCCCAGGTAGAGGCTGTCTCTTTCATGGGTCTCCATCTGAAGACTTTGGGATTTCTTCTCATGGAACACAGTTGTATCCTTAATTCTCCTGGAAAGATTTCTCATGAGTAGAGTCCCTCTTAGGTCCACCTTTAGGATGAAACACATCTACCTAATAAAAGGTGTGAGGCTTCTCCAAGTACAAAGCTCAGGTGCAATGTCTCATAGAGCTTAGCCCGGCCCAGCTTACCAGATAAACCAGTGCAGGTTCTTCTCTGCCGGGTTCTGTCTGAATTTGATTTCTCTTCCTAAGACTACCTTCTTCTAACCAGCATAACTTAGAATTCACTGTCTGAAGGTTCCTGACTGCTGAGGAAGCGGTGCTTTCTCTCATTATCTAGACTCCAGCCCTACTTAAGTTAAGTCCCAGTGGCAAGTTCTCTAGATTCTCACCACTTTTTCCTAGATTATTCTGCTAGCTTACTGTTCTCATAAACTCATTTCCTTTACATAAAACATGCCTCCTTGGATCCTACCTCTCTCCCTCCACATTTAGCTGGATTTTGGTTGTTCTTCCTTTAGCCTAAACACATGACTCATGATGTTTAAGCTCCTGACTTCAGTCAGAATACTTGTCTGGATCCACTTATAAATACAGCATCAAGATATAGGAAAGGAAAAAAATAAAGCAAATCTACAACAGAGAATTTGGTTCACGCCTTACATTGTGGTAAGGTACAAGATCAAATTATAATCTGACCCCCCATTCTGAAATCACACCTGTTTTCTCACTAAATGAGAAATCTGCCTTACAAATGAACCTCACAGAGAAGGCTCTTGGCTGATAGGAGAATTTTTTCAGCTAATCACATCCCTCTATGAGAAAAAGACAGACCTTCTTCATATCTGGTATTTGGTACACCGCTCTGTTGTTCTAGATGCTTAACACGACATCTAGTAATAATAAAAATATTCATGCTTGCCAAAACAAATTTAACTTTCACAATGTTAAATATAATATTTAACTCAAGAATTTCAACTGTGACCAAAATATGGAGTTCATCTGCAGGATGACTTGGTTTCTTGAAGCAAATGATCCCACAAGCCCCATACCAAGTATCATAATATCTGAGAGGAGGTTTCTACAGAAGAATTCTGAAATAAGTGTTACTAGCACAACTATTAAAATGTTTATTAATGATGAGAACCTCACTGTTTAAGTTAATTGTTACCCCAAAGCAACTAAAATCATATTATTCTATGAAACAAGGCTCTTGGAGATATGAGGCAACACATTTCTATAATTTCATGTCTCATCTTGAGTTTAACCTTCAGATTACATTTTCCCTTCCTATGACCTTTTCAAACATACCAGCATCTCTGAAGCACGCTCACTCACTGCCTCATTTGCTTTCACAGACTACAGAAAACTGGCCACGAAACTTCCTTTATATTCACTCACCTAAGTACTCCAGTCAGATACTGTTTTCATTTATCCAAATTCTTTCCAAATTTTAATTTACTCATTCCTTTATCTTCTACTATACCTCATTTCCTCCTCTAATTTACTCTATGTCAAGAAGCCATTCTTTAAAAAAACTTTTTTTCAAATGAGCTATTTAGAAAAAAAAATTCATTAGTGAATAAATCACTTTAAACTTTAGAAAGAGTTAATAATAAGACAAATTATTTTTATAGCCATATACAATCGCACTTAAAATAGGAGGCTTTGGTGTCTATCTTGCCTATGATTCCTAAGCAAATTACATTTTTTCCTTTTAAGAGAGATTATACTAACAAAGCCCTCAGTCTGACCAAGAGCATAAATGCAGCTCTTTCCTTCTACAGATTTATAAACCTCTCTTCCTTTCTACAGATGTTTACTTTACATTACTTCCTATCACCTCAAAAGGAAATTTAATTTGTATATTTTTTAAAAACATCCAGTAGGAACTATCTTCAAAAAAAAAAAAAAGGGATGAAAAAAGTATCTTCCAAGATCATAAATTCTACCAAGGTTTCTCAATTGGGAATGACAAAGTCAAGGTTAAAACTGGGCATAGCCAGAGTACTGCCATTTCTCATTTTAAGGTCCCAAAACGAGGCAGCCAGCCCAGCTCCTTAAAGCACGTGTCTCTCTCCTGTAGACTAATCCCAACCAGCTCCAGCTGTGAGGTGGGAGTGCACTTCCAGAACCATTAGTGGTTTCCAGACACTTTCTACAAACACTCTAGGGAAAAACACCAAGCCAGTGACAAAGAACACTCTTCTCTCAAACCTGCTCACATCTTAAGACTGGAAATTTAACCACCACCAACAGAGGTCTTACCTAAGATTTCAAGAAGGTCATTAGTAAAGGCCTGAAATGCTGGGAAAAATTCCTCATGTTCTTCCAATTTGTTGATAATGCTTTAAAAAAAAATGCACAGTTTACACTGAATTTCCAACTTAAAGTTCTTGCCTCTGATTGAAAACAGAACATTTTCAAAATGGAAAGAAATTTCCTGCTGATTTAAATATAAATTTAATGATCATTTACTACAATCCTTCCTTTTTGAGCACTTTGTTCAATTAATATCATTTTTCTAAAAGAAAAATCTCTTATTATTAGTGTAAACATCTGTTCCAAAGTTAAATTTATATAATATTCCTAATCTGGGAAACTTTCCATTTAGCTCTAGGATTCTTAAGAGACCATGATTTTATAACATTCTCTAAAAATAATTGGCTTGAATATCTAGTATTCTATTAAACATTAAGAACAAGTATCAGCAGTCAGGAAAACTGTAGGAAGGGGGGAAAGACCAATATGAGATACATGTTCCTTTTAAAAACATCAAGTAGGGGCTGGCCCCATGGCCGAGTGGTTAAGTTCGCACGCTCTGCTGCAGGCGGCCCAGTGTTTCGTTGGTGCGAATCCTGGGCGCGGACATGGCACTGCTCATCAAACCACGCTGAGGCAGCGTCCCACATGCCACAACTAGAAGGACCCACAACGAAGAAGATACAACTATGTACCGGGGGGCTTTGGGGAGAAAAAGGAAAAAATAAAATCTTTAAAAAAAAAAAAAAAATCAAGTATCAGAAAACTCAAATGTCAGATTAGGTAAGGGCTCTTCTTGGAAAACCTGCAGAACATATGGAACAGGCGGGATACTACGTGTTCCCCTTCCCAAATGTTGCAGTGTAACATTTGGAGAGGGGTGCAGGGGAGGAAGAGTCCATTTAAGCAAAGCTAAAATGTTTCAGTATTTTAAAAAAACCATTAGGTTTTATGTTAGAGATGCCTAGCTTTTTACAAAATCCTTACCATTTATCTTCTAATCAAATAATAAATATACTGTGAGGGACTATTCAGTGGTCTACGGTAGTGTACTAAAGATAGCACTTGTTTATACATTCTGAACTCACATGAAGTTGCTAACCAGGTTTGAATTTCTCCAGATATAATTTTCCCTGGGAAGAGGCTTACAGCAATAACGCTGGAGTCTTGACCTACCCTATGGAAACTTACAGGCTCTACAATCTACTTTTATCTTGAAATAGTTGGCCTTCTCTCCATTCCTAAGGTGGGAGATCATTTTCAATTGTCTAGTTATTTAAAAGACGCTATTCCAAACAGGAAAGGTAAATAACTTATAAAGTTTCGAAAGTCTTTAATTTTACCACTCCACGCATTCTGAATGATACTTCGAAAACTTTTTAAAATAAATACCTCTGGAGGTCTTCAGGTCCCAATACCTGCGTAACCTGTTCACTCACATCCTCATTAATCAGCCTACACAATTTTCCAACTGTGCTCACCAGCACACACAATGAGGATGAACTATCTGCAAAGGAGAAATAAAAGGATAGGGTATTTCAAAAGAGAATTTTCAAAATCATTAAATCAAACACTGCTTCAGTTATCCTCATTTTTTTTTTTTTTTGCTTTAAACTGTTTTACCTATATTTTATTGATTTATCAGGAATAATTCTTAAATGGGGGCCAAAAAGAACAAAGGGTCATCACCTAATTCTAAGAGTTCTTGGAGGTTTCTCACAGCATTGTTCATTTCTCCAAGCCTAGTATAAACTTCATGCATTCGGGGATAGACTCCATTTAAAGAAGGCACATCAAATAATTTTTGGAAGTGAGAAACAATAGCTTGCAAAGTTTGAAAGTCTGGCATATTGCTGTCCTGTCCAAAAGAGAGGGAGAAAAAAAAAAGATAGTTCACATCTTAAAATAACCCCAAATCTTTAATAAAAACTTTAAAAAGACAAAGAATCCTAGTAGAATAAATATCAATATCCATACCATTACCAGTTTTTAAGATAAGATTACATTAAAATGTGAATATTTGCATAAGTATTACCTTTTCCTTATTTTCAACTTCTTCCAACATGGTATCTACTATAAACAACAGATCTTCAACTCTGATCCCTTCATTTTCATCCTGCTTCTTTAAATTATGCCAAGGCACTAGTTCTGCAGATAGTATTTTCAAGGACTTATATAAATCCTTTATAACAAAAGAAATGACATGGTATTATTGATTTTAAAAAATATTTTCCATAATAATGCTGATAAAATATAATTATCCAGGCAGGTTTAATATATATATTAATCATCATCAGTATTTTTTTAAAAACAACTTCCAGTTTAGAAAAAGTGTGTTAAATTCGTTTTCTCCAGGTAAATATAGGCCTTACAAAAAACATTATATATTGTTTATCCCATATCTGGATGTTTTAAGTAATTATATTATTAGTATTTATTTAAGTAATTATTTTGAATTATAGATGGAGAAAAATAAGTTTGTTCTTTGTATTCTGGCCATTAATTTTTTCATAACAGATTTATTGAGATGTAATTCATATACCATAAAATTCACCTTCTTTGTGTGTACAATTCAGTGGTTCTAATACATTTAGAGATGTGCAACCATCACCATTAGCTAATTTCAGGACATTTTCATCACCTCCCAAAAAACCCCCATACCCACTTGCAGTCATTCCCCATTCTCCCCTGCCCTCAGTTCCTGAATAACTACTAATCTACTTTCTGTTTCTATGAAATTTGCCTATTCTCAGCGTTTCACATAAAATGGAATCATACAATAGTGGCCTTTTGTGACTGGCTTCTTTCACTTATGATAATGTTTTCAAGATTGATCCATGTTATAGCATGTATCTCCAGGCAATTCTTAATTTGAAAGGATGACTAAATTAATTCTACTTAATCTTCATGACAGTCTACTTAGTTTCCTGGCCTAGACATGTGGTCCTAACGTATTTTAAAACTGCACAAGAGGCAAGGCTACTGGAAGTTTAGAATACTAAGACTGGCCAACCGATAAATATCTACTGAGCATCTGCTATGTGCATGGTGCAGTGCTTGGCCCTTCAGAACAATGCTGTCCCAAAGAAACGTACGTGAGTCACAGTAATTCTAAATTGTCTTGTAGCCACACTTAGAAAGGTAAAAAGAAACAAGAGACATTAACTTTAGTAATATATTTTACTTAACCCAATATATCAAAAATATTTTCATTTCAACACATAATCAATATTTTAATTATTTTTTTTCAATATTAAGTCTTCTAAATCTGGCGTGTATTTTATACTCACGGCACATCTTAGTTAGGACTGGCCACATTTCAAGTGATCAAAAGCTACATGTGGCTAGTGGTTACTGTATTAGACAGCACAACTCCAAAATACAGAAAGAGGTACAGGAAATTCTTTTTCCAACTTCTTATTTTAGTCCTTTGCTTATTTAACACTCTCTAATTAATGCCCAGACCTCACATACTCATATCTTTAACCTTTCATTTGGTAAGAAGGCAATTACCTATTTTAGCAATTCAAGGCAATACATTCCGTGTCAAATGAATGTTTTAAGTAATAAGTGCCACCAGAATTGGAAAAAAAAAGTCAGGAAGTCACAGCATAATGATATCTTCATTAACCAACGCTCCATCAACAAAGTGTGATTATAAAGAAATGGTCTATGGTGAAAAACGCACCAAATATAAATTTTTGCTTGAGAATAAAAGTATTACAAGGTTAAGAAAAACAGATGTTCTGGTCTACTTATAGCACAGTCTATCTAAGCAAACCCTGAGAAATCTAAAAGAAGGCCTCCTAGGTTCACCACATTACTCAGTAGCAGGGATGCAGAAATACAACCAAGGTCCTGTCTGATTGCGTATGGCTGGCCTCTGGAGCAGTGGGGGATGGCAAAGACTCGGCATACAAGAGTGTACTGGGTTGCGAGAGCCTCTGTGTCTGTAGCTCACCTTTCCCGGACAGACGGGTGAGAAAGACAGAAGGAAGGAGGCTGACAGCCAGCTCCATGCTTTTCCCATTCTTCTCTTTTAAGCAAAATCTAACCTGAGAGAACAACTAATCTGGGAAGATGGTTGTCCCAAACTTAGAGGCTGCTATGGCAGAGAAAACTTTTCATATAAGGAGGCCTCAAATAACCTCATGTCGTTTCTCAATTTGGATCCTGACTCTGCAGCATAAGAAAAATATCTGAAGCACTGCCTAAAATCCATGAGTTCCTTGAGTAGTAGAACAAGTAAATTCCTCCTGGGGGTCCTCAGAATATTCTAATTATAAAGCTAACTCTCCTTGTCTCCTAGCGGGAAAACTGCAAGTAGCAAGAATTCATCACCTCTGTGAAGCTTTTCTTGAAGGCTCTCCCTCCTCCAGAATCTGGAGTTATCTGCATCATTCACTTAGTATTTCATCATGGGCTGCTTTTATGGCATTCATTTCTTCTAGTGATATCCTGAATGGTTAAACTTTATTTCATATTTTAGTATGTTTTGACCATCCAATTAGTCTAAATCTCGTGTTCACCTTTTCTGATACCACCCTCAATGCACTGAATATAGTAAATAATAACTATCCATTTATTTGATTCTTCCCTTTGTCAGCTTTCTCTGCTAGTCTTTTCCCTTCTCTTGGGAAGGCTGGGGCATTTTCTAGCCCATTTCCCTGAGAAGGAGAAAAGGAGTTAGCACGATTTCTTCCAACCCCCAGACAAGCAATGACTGGGAAAATGCCATGATTTACATAACCTACCACTAATCATTTTACCCTCTTCTGAGATATAAACTGGAGGAACTCAGACCTATAAAACAGGTATATTAATCCAATACTGTCACTTAATTAAAGTGTTTTTTATTTTGTAGCTCTATCTGAGCCCTATATAAAAAAGGAAGGCTAAATTAGGCTGAATGTGAAGACTGCTTCATCAGTTACAAGTATGTTTTCATTAAAATTTTCTTTTAATTCAGCATCATCTCCATTTGGTTGTCTTGAAATGTGTATTCTGCTTCATTCTTTTGACAAATATTGAGCACTCATCAAGTATCAGGAGGTTCATTGGGACACATCAGAAAACAAAAAAGACAAAACTCACGGAGCCTACCCATTCTTACACACATATTCTGCATTATCTACACTTCATGCACTAAGTCTTCTCCTGACAAACACTACTGTTGAATCACACCTGCATGAACAGAGGTGCTGCTACATCTCTATGTATAGGTTATTGAAAAATCTAAAGTTTAAGGGGAATAGAAATTAAATACTGACTTTAGCAATTCACCTCTCAGTGAACTACTCAACAAAAACTGAACAAAATCTGAAGTTATGTAATAAAGAATACACAATAACTCTATAAAGTGGAGAGATTTTAATCTTCCATGGATAGACAGGATAGGTAAGAGTGGTACTGGCTGCTATCTGACTACAACCTGCTCTAGAGAATAGAGAGACATGGAGATAAGCTAAGTTTTGAGAGAAGAAAAATAATTTAAAATATAAAAAGAGAAAAAACACCTCCAGTTAAAATGGAATAAGAATAAGACATTACATCTGTAGAGGAATAAGGGCCAGGAAAATCTGTAGCATGAGGATACCAAAAAGAGAAAACGAAGGTAGAACAGGGAAGGGCCTAGAAGTGCAAAGTGGATCCACTATAGATTTTCAACAATGCAACAGGCCTAAAACATGTCTTCTTTGGTAGAACTTTATAGGAGGCAAAGCTTATGGTAATGACAACAGCGAATACGTAGTACTCAAAACAGATACATAAGTACCAAGATTCAAGTTATAGATAAACTAGGCCTTTTCAGCTTTACAGTTAAACAAACAAAAAAATTAAGCCTAGTTCTATTAATAAAGCCATAGACTCCAATGTATTTTCAAAGCATGTAAACAATATTCAACCCTTTACCTTGAGGGAAGTCAGTTGATCTGCCCACATTTCTATTATAGGAACAAGATGCTCAAATCCACAATCTTGAACAAGCTCTTTATTGAAATGTTGGGCTCCTCTGCTCTGTTTATAAATTATTACTGGAGCTCTTGGATTGTGAATAATTGAATTGATGCTACTCAGCACCTTTAAAAAAGACAATGTTTTTAGTTGAAATGTTTATCATTGCTCTGTCAAAGTGATATATGTTAAAGGAGTGCTTTACATTCAAAGTAACATTTTTTAGAGTTAATTTTAGACATTAAGATCTTTAACAAGATTGACAGGTAATGCTTTGAAGGACAACAGCTTCATCAACATGATTAAACACATCAGTCCTAATGAGGATCACAGACTTCACAGGAAAACTAAAATGCATTTTTAAACCATTTAGATTCGAAAGTAGTTATGAATGATTATAATCCACATAGGGAAGAGTAACCATCCAGACATCCTTAGCTAGAGTCCCACATTTCCCACTTTCTATCTCTTCATATTTAAGCGAAGTAGGATGTTAAAAGGGGTATTTCCTGTTGTTTCATAGCTTCACTTGAAGTTCAAAGTAAGGACAATAAATAAGTTCAACACCTTCTAAATCGAAAACCTGGAAACAGCACGTAGGTCTCGCTAAGAGGTGATCAAAGTGATCTTGGATAGTGACCAGCCTATCTAAGAAAATGTTAGAGAGTCATTGGACAGGATTCACCAGGACGAATGTCTTTTAAAGGAATATACAGACCTAGTGAGTGAAAAATGCTGTGTTGTTTTTCTTTTCTTCCCATAGAAAGCTACAGAAAACTACAGGTCTCCTGAGAATTTGACTTATGATGCTTATTTACAAGCAGTCTTGTTATTGTTATTTAAGTATATGAGAGTACATTTCAGTATTTCACTTGTTATGTTTAAACTCCTCTTTGAAAATGGAAAAAACAATTAACTCTTCTCCATTAAATTACTGAGAGCAGACACATAGTTCCCCCTCTCCCTCTGCCTCACACCAAATCTAAGAAGGGCAGCAGAACTCCTGAAAGAGATCAGGGAGCTGATACTGGCCGAGCTTCAGAAGCTTACAGGACAATCCCACTCCATGATGGAGGTGGAGAACCAAGGCGGATTACATGTATGTCCAGCAGTATGCATCCATATTTTGTAGTAGATTGTTTGTAAAAATTATCATCATTATTTTTCTTCCTTATATCCTCTCCCCTTTGCAGTATGACACTGCAGGATTCTCTCATCAAGATGGAGTCTAGGGGCCTGCCTGGTGGCACAGTGGTTAAGTTTGCACGTTCCGCTTCAGTGGCCCAGGATTTGCCGGTTCGGATGCCGGGTGCGGACATGGCACCACTTGGCACGCCATGCTGTGGTAGGCGTCCCACATATAAAGTAGAGGAAGATGGGCACGGATGTTAGCTCAGGGCCAGTCTTCCTCAGCAAAAAGAGGAGAATTGGCAGCAGCTAGTAGCTCAGGGCTAATCTTCCTCAAAAAAAAAAAAAAAGAAAAAGAAATGGAGTCTATTTTCTACTCCTTGAATCTGGGCTGATCCTGGGGCTTGCGCTGGCCCACAGAAAAGGAAGTAATGCTGTGCCAGCGTGGGCTCCAAGACTCGAAGGGTCTTGATTATTTCTGCTCTCTCTCTCTTTGAACTCTGTTGCTGTGTTGGCAAGCCCAGGCTAGATGGTGGATGATAAAAAGACACATGCCCCAGTCATCCCTATTACCCTGAGCCAATACCCACCCAACTCACAGAAGCAGAGCCACTTAGCTGACTTGTATCTGACAGCAGATGCATGAGGGAACCCAACCAAAATCAAGAGAACCGCCCAGCTGGCCAAGCACAATGATATTAAAGTGTTGTTATTTTAAGTAACTAAGTTTTAGGAGAGTCCGTTACACAGCAAAAATGAACTGATATACATATAAAGATAAAGATGGAAGAGAGCAAGGAGAGGAGGCAGCAACAAGAGAAGCCTGCCCTTTTACACTGTGGTAGGCCAAGAATACACCCTGTGGCCAAGCAGACACTTTAGAAGAGAGTCAAGCTTTGCTTTCATGAAAGAACACTACCTATAGCTGGAAGACTCAGGGGTAATATCACTTGAACAGGAGGAGGAAAGGGATTCATAAGAGGTCAGCTGGAAAGTGCACTGCCCGTAGAATTAACGGTACATTGCCAAAGTCCCTAGTTGGTGGGGAGGAAATAAGTGCACACACACACACACGTATACACAAGCATTCCCTGAAGAGAAAAACAGGCAGTATTTGGTCATCAGCCACAACACGGCACCAGTGCTAGACTGCACCAGCACCAGTCAAGAAAGATTCTACTCTCTTGCTTTCTATTCTCACCCAACATGCACCCTCACTGCCAAACTTGGAGAAGCCAGATACAGCAGAGGACTAGGAGAGAAGGTGGAGCAATGGCAATAGAGAAATGGACCACAGCCGCTCGCCACACTGCTTGTTTGAAGAAGCATAGGTCAGGCATGAAATAAACTAGGCATAAAGTAGAAGCTTTGAACTAAATGAGATTGAAGTTTTGATTGAGTTTTTTTTTTTTTAAGATTTTATTTTTCCTTTTTCTCCCAAAGCCCCCCGGCACATAGTTGTGTACTTTTTAGTTGTGGGTCCTTCTAGTTGTGGCACGTGAGAAGCCACCTCAGCATGGCCTGACGAGCAGCGCCATGTTCGTGCCCAGGATCTAAACCAGTGAAACCCTGGGCCGCCGAAGCAGAGCATGTGAACCCAACCACTCCACCAGCCCCTTGACTGAGATTTGAATGACTTTTTCTCCCAATTTTTCATCAAGAAAATTTTGAAACATACAAAAAAATAAAAAGAATATAAATAAGAAACACTGTATTAGTCAGGGTTCTCCAAAGAAACAGAACCAATAGGATATGTGTGTGTATTTATTTACTACAAGGAACTGGCTCAGGCCTGACAAGTCCCAAGATCTGATTGTTCTATTGAGGCCTTCAACTGATTGGATGAGCCCACTCACATCAGGGAGTGCAATCTGCTTTCCCTAGTCTTCCAACTCAAACGTTAATTTCATACAGAAACACCCTCACAGACACACCCAGAATAATGTTTGACAAAATATCTGGGCATCCATGGCCCAGTCAATTTAATATATAAAATGAACCATCACAAATACCCATATAATCACTATCTAGAGTCAACAATTGTCAACATTTTGCCATATTTGCTCACTCCAGCTATCTATCTTTTTAGCTGAACCATTTAAAGAAAATGCAGACCTGATAACACTTCACCCTCAAATACTTAAGCATGCATCTCTTAAAAGCAGGCATACTTTGAGTCAGCCCTGATGGTCTAGTGGTTAAAGTTCAGTGCTCTCACCACTTCAGCAGCTTGGGTTCAGTTCCCAGTCACAGAACCACAGCACTCGTCTGTGCTGCCATGCTGAGGCAATGTCTCACATAGAAGAACTAGAAGGACTTACAACCAGAATATACAGCTCTGCACTGGGGCTTTGGGGAGGGAAAAAAAAAAGAGGGAGATTGGCAACAGATGTTAGCTCAGGGCGAATCTTTCCCAGCTTAAAAAAAAAGTAGGTGCGGCCGGCCCCACGGCCGAGTGGTTAAGTTCGCATGCTCTGCTTCGGTGGCCCAGGGTTTCACCGGTTTGGATCCTGGGTGCAGGCATGGCACCGCTCATCAGGCCATGGAGAGGAGGCATCCCACATGCCACAGCTAGAAGGACCCACAACTAAAATATACAACTATGTTCTGGGGGGTTTTGGGGAGGAAAAGTAAAAAAACAAAAAAAAAAAAGTAGGCATATTTTCCTACAAAATCACACTATCATTATTATACATACAAAAATTAACAATAATTCCCTAATATCATCAATGCCTGCACTGAATTTTAAATATCTTAATATGTATAATATGTGACTATAACCCCTCTGCCAAAAGCAATGAGTTCTACCTTATATATCATCCAAGAAGAGGGAAGAAAGACTGAAAACAACAAGTTTAAAGGAAGAAGAGTAAAAAGCCATTTGCTTATTTACCACCATGAAGCCCAGCCTATTTAATAAACAGTTACACAAGTATAAAGACAAGATACCGTTTTTTTTTTTCCTGCTTTTTCTCCCCAAATCCCCCCCATACATAGTCGTATATTTTAGTTGTGGGTCCTTCTGGTTGTGACAAGATGCCATTTTGATCTTGAATCTTTGTCCCTATTCCTGGTAATATTACTTTAGATGTTTATTGAGGAGCTTTTTGTTTTTAGTTCAAGAGAGTGTATTTCACCATTTCACTTCTCTTATATTTAAACACATCATTTTAACAGAAAAAATTCATTAAATCTCCTCCCCTGAATTACCGACAGCAGAGCATATTCTTTCTTACGGCTTATTCACACTCTGATGACTGGCAGCAAAGATGTATTAGTGAGGAAATGGAAAAATGACAAACAATTCCCAGAGAGATGGGAATTAGAGAAAGAAAATTTACAACATAGGTCTTATCTTACTCAGAAAGAGTTTGATATGGATAAAAAATATATTTTTAAGGGTAATCACTAGATGAATAGAAAAGAATTAAGAAAATGAATGTCCTAACTACTTTAAGAGAAAAAAAAGACAAAGAAATCTCAAGCTAGCAAATGTCAAGAAAAGAATGGAATAAGAAACCATGTAAATAGCAAACAGAAAGTAAGACGTCAGGAACAAAAGCAGATATATGAATTGGTGTCAATGTCCATGAATGGTTTAATTCCCCTGTTAAAGGACAAAGCCTCTCAAATTGAATCTAAGAAACAAAATGAAGTAAAAGCCATTCAGTTATATACTGGGTACAAGAGAATTATCTAAAACACAACAGTTTTCAGAAAGGTGCCTGGGCATGTAATTAACACAGAGATATATGAAGAACCAGGAATAATCAATTAGAAAATGTAACGGAAAAAAAGATCCCCTTCAAACAAAGAATCCTAAAATTCATATGGGGCAACAAAAGACCCCGAATTTCTAAAGCAATCCTGAGAAAAAAGAACAAAACGGGAGGCATCACAATCCCTGACTTCAAAACATACTACAAAGCTACAGTAATCAAAACAGCATGGTACTGGTACAAAAACAGGTGCACAGATCAATGGAACAGAATTGAAAGCCCAGAAATAAAACCACACATCTATGGACAGCTTATCTTCGACAAAGGAGCTGAGGGCATACAATGGAGAAAAGAAAGTCTTTTCAACAAAAGGTGCTGGGAAAACTGGAAAGCCACATGTAAAAGAATGAAAATTGACCATTCTTTTTCACCATTCACCAAAATAAACTCAAAATGGATCAAAGACCTAAAGGTGAGACCTGAAACCATAAGGCTTCTAGAAGAAAACATAGGCAGTACATTCTTTGACATCAGTATTAAAAGGATCTTTTTGGACACCATGTCTTCTCAGAGAAGGGAAACAATAGAAAGAATAAACGAATGGGACTTCATCAGACTAAAGAGCTTCTTCAAGGCAAATGAAAACAGGATTGAAACAAGAAAACAACCCACTAACTGGGAAAAAATATTTGCAAGTCATATATCTGACAAAGGCTTAATATCCATAATATATAAAGAACTCTCACAACTCAACAACAAAAAATCAAACGACCCGATCAAAAAATGGGCTGGAGACATGAACAGACATTTCTCCAAAGAAGATATACGGATGGCCAATAGGCACATGAAAAGATGCTCATCATCGCTGATCATCAGGGAAATGCAAATCAAAACTACACTAAGATATCACCTTACACCCATTAGAATGACAAAAATATCTAAAACTAATAGTAACAAATGTTAGAGAGGTTGTGGAGAAAAAGGAACCCTCATACACTGCTGGTAGGAATGCAAACTGGTGCAGCCACTATGGAAAACAGTATGGAGATTCCTCAAAAAATTAAAAATAGAACTACCATACGATCCAGCCATCCCACTACTGGGTATTTATCCAAAGAGCTTGAAGTCAGCAATCCCAAAAGTCCTATGTACCCCAATGTTCATTGCAGCATTATTTACAATAGCCAAGATATGGAAGCAACCTAAGTGCCCATCAACAGATGAATGGATAAAGAAGATGTGGTACATATATACAATGGAATACTACTCAGCTGCAAAACAGAACAAAATCATTCCATTTGCAATAACATGGATGGACCTTAAGGGAATTATGTTAAGTGAGAGAAGCCAGATAGAGAAGGATAATCTGTGTATGATGACTCCACTCATATAAGGAATTTAAAAATGTGGACTAAGAGAACAGTTTAGTAGATACGAGGGGAAAGGAGGGGTGGGGGGTGGGCACAAAGGGTGAAGTGGTGCACCTACAACACAACTAACAAACATTAATGTACAACTGAAATTTCACAAGATTGTAACCTATCAATAACTCAATAAAAAAAAAAGATCCCCTTCACAATAGCAATAAAAGTTATAAAATACCTAGGAAATAAACCTAACTAGAAATATGCAAGAGCTAAATTTTAAAACATATAAAATTTTATTAAAGGCTGTAAAGGAAGACTCAAATAAAATTAGAGACATATTTCTGAGCAAGACAGTTTAAAACTGTAAAGGTGTCATTTTTCCAAATACTAATTCAAAAAGTTAATCCAATTTCACCTCCTCTTAATGGGATCTATTTTTCAATTTGACAAACTGTTCATTCAGAAGAATAAATATGCTAATAATATAGCCAAGGAAAAATTCTAAAAAGCAACAAGATACTTATCCTAAAAGCTATCAAAACCTACTATAAAACTATAGAAATTAAAAGAATATGGAAATAGTATAAAAATGAAAGAGAGTCTAGAAACAAAACTATACATATAAGAAAATACAGTAAAGTAGAGAAAGAATGGTCTATTGGAAACTGCCAACTCAAATGACTATAGAAGCCAGGTAAGAGCATAAGTGAGTGAAGCAAGCACGGTGAGGACTGGGGCTAAGTGAAAAGCACATGGCCGAATGTGACAAGGGAAGGCATAATTCTCCTCTGATAATGACTGTGCAGGAATTTGCTGCCAGATTCTTCGGCTTTTTAAGAGAAGCTAGAAAGAGGGACTTAAAAAATTTAATTAAAAAATATTAGTAATTAATTCAAAGTTTAAAAAACTCTGCATGGGACCGATAAAATATGAGTGCAGGCCTAGTTCAGTCAGTAAACTACCAGGCTTAATTGCTCATCTATTCCATCGATGGTCTACAAAACCAGTAAGGTTAGGTCTCTAAATCACACCACACAGGAAATTAAATTTCAGATGGACTAAGTAGCTAAATAAAAAACAAAACCATACAAGGACCTTAAAGAAAACACATTTACTTCTATAATAATAATACCAACAACAGCAACAACAAAAACAATAAAAAGGGCAATGGCTTAAAGGGGGAGAGTAGGGAAAAGGATTATAAAATCTTTTTAAAAGCTTACCTGCTTTGAACTAGGCCAAGTCTCTTTTAAGGGTTAAGACAAATTCTAAGTCAAGCTACCTGCAATGTTTTTAGCTAAGTAGGTATGTCATGGCAAGACAACACAGGATAAGCACACACAAATACAGGACACAAGTATTCCTTACCCACTGATAATCCATCACACTGCAATTAAAACCAAGGTTCACTACAGTACCAGTCTCTTTGCCAATTGTTTAATACCTGAAAGTATCTCTGGTCAATTAGGGCCTGCTGCAGATTATCCTTGCTGGGCTCATCTTTTTTCTCAGTGTCCTCAGCCTTTCTTTGGCCAATAATATCCTGTAATCTAAAGGGGAAAAAAGTCAAGATAATACAAAATGCTTTTCTAGACACTAGATTAAGATGAAAAACTGAGCCAATGATCCAGCTACCCTCCCAACAGCTTACACACACACACACGCGCGTGTGTGTATGCACATATACCCATACATAAAATTTTTTAAAAATTTTAAGCCATATCATCACTGGAAAACAGGAAGGTCCTCTCAATAACCACAAAGCAGAAGGAATCCCTGAAAAAGAGGATCAGACTGAAGAAGAAAGCTGTAACTGTAACCACGGGCCCAGTAAGACCAGTTCAACTGACCCCATCCTCTCAGTTTAGGAACTGAGAGTCGGCCCCTTGTGCAGTTCAGGCCAGTTGAGACCCCCAACCTATCAACTGGGCCTGTGCAAATACCCGATAAGTGACCCTTTCGATGTCAAGAGGCCAAAAACTCCTCCCTCAAATCACACTAATACCACTATTTTGTGAACACGTGTCCTATGAAGAGCCAGGAAGCTTGACTATGCTGGCACAGATCATCAATTACCTCAGTTCTCCTCATCTCCAATCATCTATCTCCACACTTCAGAATGCCCTGCCCCTCATCCTATAAATTTTGCCCCAAGCCCCACATCAGGTAGACAGATTTGAGAGCTTTCGTCTCCTGTCTCCTTGCAGGTCGACCTCACAATAAAGCTTTTTTCTTTTCTCAAAAGCTGATGCTGTAATAATTGGCTCTTTATGCGCATCAGGCAAGAGAACTCCAATTTTGTGCCGTAATATAACTACTCCCCAACACTTGCAAAAAACAGAGTAAGAAAGAACTACAGCAAAGGAGGGAAGCAACTTCCAAGACACTCCAAGTTTGGAAGTTACAGTAAGGAGAGGAAGAAGCAATGGGCAGAACAATCAGTGTGGACACTGTAGCAGCAAGAGCTAAACACTATGGTTCTTCCTTCTTCATAGTCCACTTGCGCTAAAGAACAGACAACAGTAATGCCTGGGCCAGTCAAGAGGGCACAGAAACCCAAGAGACCACTGTCCCAGGTGGCTACCGGAACTCTGAGGGAAGAGTCTCTTTGCCCAGAAACCTAACTATGTATGAGCGTATTCACCTAGTAGAAAACCCTTGCCCTTCTCCAAATATCTCTGAAGTCAAGCTAGTAAATCTTCCTCCTCTCACCCACCATGCCTTTGGAAAAATGCAGTCCCTTATTAAATTTGAGTATGCCTATCAGTTTCCTGTGGAAACCCTGACCCATTAAACTGATTCTGTGACTCATTAATGAGCTTGACCTGCTGTTTGTAAAATATAATAGCAACATTCCATCATGTCATTTGCCTGCTAAGAAAACAATCAATGGCTTCCCATTGCTTTGTTAACTAAATCTAATCTCCTTGGGTTAGCTTGAATGTCTTAACCTAATATTCCTACTGACTGGCTTCTTAGCTCATCTCTTACTACTACCCTAAACTATTTACTCCAATCACTTGTATTGCCCTTGATCTTCACTCAACCGCTTTTCTCTGCTCTCTATTGAGTATATGCCCAAAACAAATTGATAAATGGAATCAGCTCTAGGTAAAGAGTCAACCTCCTTCCTCTAGTGGACACAAAGACCTCACAATCCATTTTCCACTTGACTTCCCACCTATTTACCACATTCACATACTTTACAGGTTTGCCTAAGGGCAGCACCAGGAGCCTATTATCTAGAATACAAAAGGGACATAGCAAAACTGTTATGCTGTCTAGTGGGAATACATGTTAACTGATACATGTAAATTTAAATGTTAGTTAACCTTTCACTCAGGTAAAAATATTTAACTTATCAATGAACTGTTTGCAAATCTGATTATTAAATATAACACTACGGATATAGAACATTTTAGCTGTCAGTATAGTAACCTAAATATATAATTGTACGTACTAGTTACAGTCACTACGGGAAATGAAATGTGATTCAATTAACTAGATGAATAAAGAGATACCCTCATTTAATAATGATAGTAACTAACATATATTGAGAACCTGGTGATGATGATAATTAGTATTTATTGAGAACCTTCTCTATGCAGGAATTCTTCTAAGCACTTTACATGTATAAATTTATTTAATCCCATTGTTTTTTCTAAGTTTACAGAAGATAAGGATTAGTAAAAGCTAGGGACTCATGGGATATTGATCTTTAGTTCACTTAGTCTCACAGTAAGTATCTGCCATAGCATAAGCCTCCTGAAAAACTTTGTATTCTACAAAAACACACACTCAAACATAACAGGGCTCAGGAGAAAAGCAGTGTTAGAAACCAGACGATTTAAAACTGACGCAGCCTGTAACCAGAAAACCAGCAAACACAGTAATTGGTACCTCAGGAGGTAAGTTAGACAGCTCAAGTATGTCTAGAGGTTGCCTTAGGGGATATTAAAAATGCACAGACAGCACAGCAGAAATGTTGGCTTGAGGATGCCAAGACTATGAAGACAGAAGTGGAGCTCCCGGCCAAAGCAGCTGAGGTTAAAATAGGCGAGGGAGGAAGTGCAACTTGCCTCCAGCCCAGAGTCTGCCTAATGCTGGGGGGCAGGAGGGAGCTCTGGGTGCAGTTTCTCATTTTAAATTTTCTTAAAAAAGAGCTGAAAGGGCAGCTGCCTAGTACTAGCAGAACTTTTCCCTTTCCTGAAGGTTCTACCACTACTGCTGCTCTAGCTCCTCATACTTAGGAAAAATTGTGTGTGGCCAATGCGACTCCTATGTTATACTACTAATCATGCCCTTATTTTCCAATTGCATATGACTTAATTGGTGTTTTCAAAACCTATGTTGCAGCAGAATAGGCTGTACCCAGAAATATGCCAGGGTTGTTTTGTAGTCTCCAGAGCAGTGAGCAGGGCCTGAAGGCCACAAAAATCCCCCAAGAGTAGCTAAGGGATGCTTTACATACTTAGCAGACACTCATTCCGTGCAGCCAGCAGCAACAGCTGTATTTTTTTGTGGAGTCTGGGAAATCCAGAAAACTGCACCTCCAACTTGAAATACGCTGTGTCGTCTCCTGTTTTCTCGAGCCGTCTCCCTAAGTGTCTATGTGCAGACGCTTCATAGCTTTTAACTGTGTCTGTTGAAGCCTTTCCATGATCTCATGGCAACTCCCATTCGGGAGAAGAGGAATGAGTTGAAAAGTGGAATGCCAATTTTGTTTTAAAAAAATCATGCTAATTTAGCCACAATGATACAAAACACATGTATGCATCAACTGAGACTCTCACAATTGTATGTTCCCCGAGTCCTTTTCCCCACATTCCTAGGATTTTTTAAATGATTAGGATGAAAAGAAGGGTGGTTCTCTCCCATCTAGCAGCACCAATGCCAGAACTCTGAAGGCAACTATTTCTCCAGGAGAGGGAGCCCAGCTCCAAGCCAAATACTATACGTTATCTTTCAGGCCCAAACCATAGGCAATTACAAAGGCTTTGCCTGGAAAGCCTCATGGGGGAAGGATGCCGTCTCCACACCAGACTGATACACAGCCTGTGCACTGCATCTCTGGAGGGAGTTGCTGACTCAGTCTCCCTAACCCCTCCTTCCTGACTCTCAACTTCAGGGCCAGCCATGCTCACAGGCATTTCTGCATTCCTAACCCAGGTGCCTCCGTGCTGAGGCCTCTTTACTGGGGGGCCGTGACTAAGGCACTTTTCACTTCTTATGGGGTGGGGGAGCCTTAAATAAAACACTTTTCTCCACTCTGACTCAGTATTTTTCCACTCTCAGGCCCTCCTCTAGGCCTACGAAACAGCAGGAATCTTTTGTGCAGGAATCCTAGGCAGGGAGATGTTTCCTCCCATCTGGGCTGCATGTCACTGACGGACCCTTGCCTGGTGTCATTCCATGAGGAAAAACGGAACACATAGGAGCAAGCCCTTTTCTTTTCGGCCTCTTGCTTATACTATTGCCGTAAGTGAATAAAAGCTTGATTGTTAATTTCAGTTTGGCTCATTGTCCTAACTGACCACAACACCTCAACACTGGGGTGTTCAACACTAGTCAGCTCAACGCTAAGGGGGTGGGATTCTGATTTTGTTTTCTCCTAGCCACATACAAATACCAATGAAAAATTAAATAGAATTAGTGTAGTACCTTTGCTTATCTTGCACTGGCAGGCCTATTTGATCACTTCCTAGCAACAGAATTTTATAATCAACCTGTTTGTAATATTAACTCAAACAAGAAGAGTCCATGTTTTCCCACGTTAAATTAATAGCCTCGTTTGATATTGAAGGTTGGTTAGTTGAAAAGTAACTACAAATCTAAAGAAAAAAACTTAATTTTCTCTAGTTCTAAAAGGGCGAGAGACTTTCCCCCCTCGTTTTCTTATAGCATTTACTTTGGAAAAGTTGTAGTTGCAAGTTCTTTCTCTGTCCCTTTAAGAAGTACGTAGTAAATCTTTTTAATATTTACATAAGCCTCTTGCCAATTTTAACTCCTAGAAATGTCTTTCCTAAAAACCTTGAAACCATATCTGTTTTTTTGTTTTTTGAGGAAGATGAGCCCTGAGCTAACATCTGCCACCAATTCCCCTCTTTTTGCTGAGGAAGACTGGCCCTGAGCTAACATCTGTGCCCATCTCCCTCTACTTTATATATGGGATGCCTGCCACAGCATGGCTTGATAAGCGGTACGTAGGTCCACACCCGGGATCCAAACCGGTGAACCCCAGGCAACCAAAGCAGAGTGCATGAACTTAACTGCTACACCACCGGGTTGCCCTTTGAAACCATATCTTTGAAATGTAGACATTGAGAAGGATGGTGCCTTGTCTCTCTGTCTCTGTTAGAGTTTAGTCTAGGCTCCTGGCCCGAAGTTGTAACTTCCTGCTTTGACAAAGATATGAGAAGTTTTATTTTTCCTTTAGATAAAGACACTTCACATGTATGTAATCGGTTGAGTCTGCCTGCCTATATTAAAGGTGAGATTTCTTTCTGTCTTTTCACTGTCTTTAGCAGATTGCCCATAATGCACATCACAGTCTAGCTGAATGTTTATTCAGTAATAAAACTGCTTCTTTTTTTTTTTCTACATATGTAGAGGGTTTGCTGGGTTGACAGAGATTTTATTTTAAATTATTTCCCCAATATCACTAGTTCTTTGAAAAATATATTCTATTTCTGCCACTGTAGATAATAAAAATTTCTACAGTTTTACCTTAAAAAAATTTGTCTTCACTGGGTGTCTTGTTTGGGTCTAATTATTAACGTGATGGTTAAAACTGTGAGCTCTGGAGTCAGAATGATTGGGTACAGACCTGACTTCTTTCCGAGTTCTTCCTGTGTGATGTGGGCAAGTTACCTAACATTCCTAATTCTCTGTTTCCATATCTAGATACTACAAAAGCTCCAAACATAAATTTTTTTAATTCCAAATTTAAATTTCTAAAAATTTAAGTTTTTAGACAAAACTTATAAACAAATAATTTTGTCAAAATTCAGCATAAAATATAACAGGGTTGGGTTCTGAAACATAATCTTAAAGGCTAATAGTGAAAAGTCAATCTAAAGACCAGAGCCCAACAGAAAATGAATATACGGTCAATTCTCATTATTGGTGGTAGTTATGTTCTATAAAATCACCATAAACACTGAATTAGTGAAGATGGAACCACTGCTCCTACGGAACCACAGTCAGGTTCCTGCATGCCTCTGTTCACATTTTCCTCAACTGATCAATATATAACCTTGTTTTACGTGTGTTAATATTTAAAGACACTTTATTTAATATTGTTGATTCGTTAACATTGAATTCATGGCTAAGAGCACTATAACTCATGCCTTAAAGAAGTCTATCTAAGACATGCATTCTCTCTGTAAGGCACATAGCCTTCTTGTGTGTAGGAACACTAGACAGCACTTCAACACTATGCTTGGGGCCATCTTGTTAGAAATCACTAACAAAAAGTGCAAAAAAAAAAAGTAGTACTATGAGAAAAAAAAAAGGATGCTTGTTTATAGTGTGAGAGGTGAAACAAGAGGGTAGAGCATCACCCTGGTCAACAGCTGGAAATGTGTGTGTTGGGCATGCCCATGAATGACTGCAAAAATGAGGCAAGTATTGATTTTGGGATTAAAAATACATTTCAACAGGTAGGCAAATTCACAAATACGGAATCTGAAAATAATGAGGACTGACTGTGTCTACGTATATATAAGTGCATGCACATATATGTATATCTATGTGCATACATACATATGTAAGTGCATACACATATAAGAGCATATGTGTGTCGAACTTCACTAACATATTTGCCTTGAAGTCAACAAGATTTCTTTGAAGGGGATCTGGATACGCCACTCCAAAATATGCCACTTTGACGTAAGAAATGTTTTAAGCTGAAGGAATTTAAGAAATGGCAGGTGCAGGAAGGACTCTCTGACTTCCTCCTACTCCTCTCCTGAAGCTGATCCTAAGACCCTCACGTGACAGGTGCCCTCCCTGTACCCGGAAGAAAGGAGCATCTTTATCTCTGAAGACAAAGGGACGCCAAGAGGAATCCACATTTCCCCCAGTTTACCGCCCTTAGCTCATGCCCTTTTGTCCTATCACGTTTTTTCACAACTTTCCACTCTTCATCAAACCCAGGATAAAAACGCTCAGGCTTAACTGTTTCTTCAGGTCTTCATTTCCTTATGAAGGCTCCCATGTCACATAAAACTTATATTAAATAAATTTGTATGTTTTTCTCCTGTTAATCTCTCATCGTCAGTTTAATTTTCAGGCCTAGCCAGGGGCCTTAAGAGGGCTGAGGAAATGTTATTCCTCCTGATACTTTCTCCTCTGACTTTTTATCCCTCTACATCCTCCTTTTGCCAGCTGCTTCACAACCAATTTTCCCATCTCAGTTAATGGACCAACAATTACCTAGCTATTCAGGCCTAAAATTTAGGAGTCTTGATTCTCCCCACCCCCAGCGGCCTATTTCCAATCCATCATTAAGTCCCATCAGTTCTACCTCCGACATTCCAAAGACTTCTCACCACCTCCACGTCTGCAACCTGTGACCATGTCACCGCCACCTCTTGTCCAAATTCACACAATAGCAACTCACACTATTTTACATTTAGTATTTATATTATATCAAAATTGTCTTATTTATTTTTTCACTGTCCTTCTCCCTTCACATAATCTCCATGAGGGCAGGGACCTTTTCTATTTGGTTTACCACTGTAATTCCAGTACCCAGAATGCCAACCAGATAGTAGGAGGTACTAGAGATACCCAAAATGTCAAGCAATAGTTGGAAGAGAAAAAATATTAATTGAATGAATAAATGTAGCCTTTCCAAACCTTCCACTTTTCTTTTCTTTATTAGTTTTCCTTCCCTACTATCTTCATTTAACTCAACATGTAATTCCTGGATGTCCAGAATACTTGCTTTGCACTGTGGCATATGTTGCAATGGAAGGAGGAAACGCAGCTGTCACTGAAAATTGAATCCATATATGCTAATATAACTGATTTAATACATCTAATGCATATATTAACTCATACAGTTTTCAAAATATTTCACCCCAGTGCTCCCCATAGCACTTCACGCCCCATTCCCTTGAATCGAAGAGCACGCATAGATAATATTCATGGGATACTATCACTATTTGAGAACCAACTTTTTGAAACTCCTCTGAGTATGTGCTTTTCAAAGTCAAGAAGGTACCAGTGGTGGATATGAATGGCTCACTGCATTCGTTCTGGAACTCTTAAAGTGTGACGAGGTTATACACTATTCAGGTCATGACTACCATCAACAAAAATTTGGGGCTTGTTATCTCTAATTTCTCTCTTTTTTTTTTAAGATTTTATTTTTCTTTTTTCTCCCCAAAGCTCCCCCAGTACATAGTTATATATGTTTAGTTGTGGGTCCTTCTAGTTGCGGCATGTGGGATGCTGCCTCAACGTGGCCTGACGAGCGGTGCCGTGTCTGTGCCCAAGATCCGAACCAGTGAAACCCTGGGCCACTGAAGCAGAGAGCGCAAACTTAACCACCCGGCCACGGGGCTGGCCCCTATCATCTCTAATTTCAATGATTCTCTTGCAATTCCTCCACGACTTCCAAAGACAATTTTCTAGTTAAAACCTTTGCCCTTCCTTACATCAGGCAACTACCTTTTTCATGTGCTCATTTAAGACAAATATATAGCCAAACCCAACACAGTAGAAACTGTTTTTAAACTGTGAAGCCAGAAATCTTCCTTTTAATGCCATTTCCCCACCATCATAAGGTAAGCTGATAGGTAATAAAAATAATAAAATACAAAACCCTAATAAATTTGTAACTTTGGTAAAATATAATTACTTGATGTTTTTCTTAAGGGCTTTCTCCAGTTTCTTCACCTGTTGTTTATAAAGTCGTAATTCATGCTGTGTGGGCCTGTAGAAAATAAATCATGTTGAATGCATTCAATTTTTTGAAAAAAATTATAATATATTGAATAGTAAACAATACAGTATATCTTAATACTTGTTACAAACATGCTTATTAAAATTCTTAAAATATTTCATGACTGCTAGTCAGGTGTTTATTAGCCATCGGATTTCTTCTTCTGTGTAGTCCCTGTTCAAAATTTTTTACCTGTTTTTACTGTTGTAAATCTATTACTTGTTTTTATAGTGAAATATTTCAAATATACAGACAAGAATAGAGAATAGAAAAACAAACAGTGGTGTGTCCACCACTCAGCTTCAGCAAAGTTGAATATTAACAGATGTTTCAAATCTTTTTTTAACTTAAACATTATACATATACTTAAAACTCCACATATGTCCCTCATTAATGTCATTCCTCTCCTTACCGTACTACAGGTAACCACTATCCCAGATTCAGTGTTCATTATTCCCATGCACGTTTTAAAATTTTTACTACATACTTATATAACCATAAATTTACATATTATGTGGCAGGTTTTTAAACTTTATATAAATGGTTTGTACTGTAGATATCAGTGTCTCTCCATTAAAGTATAAGCCTTGTGAGAACAAGGTATTTGTTTTGGTCATTCTATTACACCAGAGCCAAGGACAGTGTCTAAGTGATAATAGGTAAACAAATATTTATTGAATGAAAAAAGTCTCGACAATGTTCACTCCTTATTACTCACTGCCAACATCTAGAATGTCATCCTTTTGTGGCAGTATGCTGTATATAAATACAGTAGTCCCCCCTTATCTGTGGTTTCACTTTCCACAGTTTCAGTTATCTGCGGTCAACTGCCGTCAACCGAGGTCCAAAAATATTAGATGGAAAACTCTAGAAAGAAACAATTCATAAGTTTTAAACTGCTCATCGTTCTGAATGGTGTGATGAAATCTTGTGCTGTTCCGCTCCGTCCCACCTGGGCTGTAAATCATCCCTTTGTCCAGCGTATCCATGCTGTATACCCCACCCCCTCATACCTCCATCCCGTTAGTCACTTAGTAGCCATCTTGGTTATCAGATCAACTGTTGCAGTATCAGTTCGGTACTAGCCACAGTTTCAGGCATCCACTGGGGGTCTTGGAATGTATCCCCTGAGGATAAGGGGAGACCACTGTATACTTTTCTATTGTATGCCATTTAAACCTCTTAGTTTTCTTCTCCCACAACACAGAGATAAGATGAAATAACAAGTCATTTTAAAGTAATTTGGGAATTGGAAACCTGCTAGTATAAGACTGAATATACTCTGAGTTCCTACCCAGTTTTATCTTCTTTAATGTGGACTCCTATTTTCTCATTTCCCTTGCCTACCTATATTTTCTTGTTCCTTCCATCGTATGAGAGACAACTGACTAAACCAATTATAAGAGTATGAGGTTCCCAAGATTAGTTTTAGAGTAAAGGGGCTAGAATGATTCATTTAACATTCCAAACTCCAGTATGTGTTTACTTTCCAAAAACTGAATAAAAATGACTGAAGTTTCTCTCACCTGCTTTCCAAATCTTTTTGGAGATTCAGCTTTTCACTTAAAAGTACATCAAGCTTGGATTTCGATTCTTTGAGTTCATTCTGCAATGACTGCAACACATTTCACAGAAAAACAATTAACTTTCCTGGGAGATTATTTTACTTTATAAAAAAGCATTTATTGGTCATGCAGTCCCCATACCATTAGAAGGCCTTTGTAGGTTGCTGAAGCATCCAGACTTCTGTAGTCTTTTTCTTCTTCTGACTGACTTTCATCTTCTTTATACCGCCTATGAAAAGATACACGCAATGTACTTCTTATGAAAAATCAATCTTCAAAGAAAAAACCTGGTTAACAAATTAAATCAATCCAATAAGAGTTTTATAACCTATTAAACTGAAGGCAAATTTCCTACTTGTTCTCATAGAGAATGGTATTAGAACATACTATTACCTAATATTATAGTATATATCTGTTCACTTTCATCTTAACTACAATGTTTAAGATCCATGTGGACCAGAACTTTGTCTTGTTCACCATTATATCTCACTGCCTAGAAGAGTATGGGGCATGAGAAGGGGTGAAAAAAAACTTGTTGAACGAATAAACAAACAACATATGTTGTTTTATCCTTCTAGTACTTTTAGGTCACCAAAAAAACCTACAGGAAAAAATGCAGAATCTAAGTGGACAAGGCAACAGATTAACAGTCCCAATTCAAGTCTTGACACCACCATTAACCAGTTGTGTTATCTCTGTAGGTCAATCTGTCAGAATGTGTGTTCTCATCTGTCAAACAGAGATAATATGTCACATCCACCTCACAGGATTGGTGTTAAAAATAAATAAAAGACATTAGCTACACATGGCTAATGAGCACTTGAAATATGGCTAATGCGACTGAAGAACTAAACTTTTAATTTAATTTTAATTAAAATTAAAATTTAAAAACTGAAGCAATGTAAAATAGTTTTTTGTTAAACACAACTTTATTGTTCAAGACTATATTCCACTTTGTTGCATCACATTAAGGTATTACTGCTGTAGCCTACTGGGCACTGGGTGCATGCGTGGTCTGTAGTACTAACCAAAAAGACACCACCAGGCTGGCAGTGTCAACAGATTGATTCACCTGGAATGATTTTTTCCCCCTACACACCAATATAAAATTGTAATGTGTTTATTCTGGTACTGAGTCTATGGTGAAACCTATATAATCATAATTGATAATTAAATCAATATATTTATTACTTTAATTATAAAAACGAAACTATTTTTCCTAGTTAAAAAAATAAATATGGACAGATTTTTAACAGAATCAAGTGGAGATAACATCTGAGAGAACAACAACAGGGACACTAAAGAAAAGACACTGAAAAAAGGTATGTCACAAATTTCCTAATGAATGCTATTGTAATTTGCTGCAGAACAAAATGAAAAAGCTGTTGGGTGAAAAGTGACAAAAGAAAACACAGATAAATTGGACTTTATAAAATTAAAAAGTTCTTGAGCTTTCAGGGATACCAGCTCCTATTTTTCTTCCTATCTCCTTCTCCCTTAATGAGAGATATCCAATCCAAATATCTGACTTGAGCATAGCTTGTACAGGCCAAAGTATTTCACTTCAGCTCTTCAGCTAGACAGTTAACTGAGTATCAGTTGCAACTTTTGTGAATTTTAATCTAGATTCAAGGGTTGGCAAAATTTTTTCTGTAAACGGCCAAACAGTAAATATTTTAGGTTGTATAGTCTCTTGCAACTACTCAGTGCTGCTGTTATAGCACGAACTCAGCCATAGATGATATGCAAATAAATTGGCATGGTTGTGTTCCATAAAACGTGGCTAGATGTAGCCCACAGGAGTTTGCTGACTGCTGATCCAGGTGATGAGGAGAGAGAGTGGGATTTTTAGTGAGAGTAGAGAAGTTTAGCATAGCATCACTGAAGTCTGTCCTGTGCAGTGTGGTGTGAGAGGTTGCCTCTGAAGTTGTACACATGGGGTCTCTGAATACAAATGATGAAAGGATTGAGGCCGTTGCAGCTAGTGGTGTTGCATTGGTTGTCACGGATCTGTAGTGGAAATCTGGGGCTCACATCCTTGCATGGCATCAACTGGCTAGAGTACATAGTAACCACCCCCTTAAGACAGATGGACAGACGGTACACAGCTCTCCAATTTGCCACAGACCCCACCTAACCTGCTTCACTCATTTTCATTATTTTCTTGATTCTGTGAGCATAAGAGTTTGCAACCTCTCAAGCCATAAAATTCATTTTCCTTCTCTTTACTCTTATATACTGTGTTGTTCATTTTAGCATCATCTTGGCTAGGTTGTGGTGCCCAGCTGTTTGATAAAACAGCAGTCTAGATATAGCTGTGAGGTATTTTTCAGAAGGGATTAACATTTAAATCAACAGACTTTGAATAAAGCAGATTACCTACACAATGTGGTGAGCCTCATGCAATTAGTTAAAGGCCTTAAGAGCAAAGCCTGAGACTCCGGAGAAGGAAGGTATTCTGCCTCCAGACTGCCTTCAGCTCCAACACTGCAACATCCACTCTTCCCCGGGTCTCCAGCCTGCAGGCCTGCCTCACACATTTCAGACTTGCCAGCCTCACGACTGCATGAACCAATTCCTTTAAATTAAATCTCTCTCTATATATAAATGTACATCCTATTGGTTCTGTTTCTCTTGAGAATCCTGACAAATACACATGTGCCTATAACCCCATCACCCAGCTTTTCTGTATTAAAGGAAAAAGTGCCTTCTTTCTTTCCAAGACAAATGACGTCTGCTTGTTCATTTATAGCTTACTTTTGGTCCAGCATGTGAACGACTGCTCTCCACAGATTACCACCTCTATTTATGAAGATGCCAACAAATCCCTTGGACTCCAGCCAAACTGGCTTAATTACAGCACCATAAAAAAAGTCTACACTTTTATATCAATACACTTTTGTTCATAGCATCTAAGCAGTCTAAAATGGCTTTTTTTTTTTTTCTCGCCTTTCTGCTTTCCCAAATTTTACTTACCCTTCAAACTCAAGCACAACCCCCACCTGCTTTGTAAAGGCTACCCTGGTCACTCCAAACAAAACTAATGTGTTCCTCTTCCAAACTCCTATATTACTGTCTGTACAACTTTTAGTAATTACTCTATTGTGATATTACATATTAGTGTTTTCTAAGCCTCATATTATTTTTCTTAATTATTAATGTGTTTACATTTGATCTTCCTCACTAGACTGTAAACTCCTAGAAGGTAAGGACCATATCCAAAACTTTGTCCTCTCTCTACAGAATCTATCTAACACCTCAGCTACCACCTAACATACACAGTTCCATCTGGAAATCAGAAAGGCCCTGAACTTCCCTGATACAATGCTGCTTTCTGAATAGAATCAAGAAAGAAGTTGCTCTGTCATTAGTTGTTCTTTCATCTTCCCTTCCTCCCTTTTTCACTTCTTTCTTCCCTTCTTCCCTCCACCCTGCTCTCCTTTTTTTAAGAGTCCCCAAGACGCTAGAATGAATCAGCAACCAGCACAGTCTGCTACTGGTCCTGCTGGGTTTCTGGAAAGTCATTATTATTCATGAGGCAAGAATATTAGAATGTACACTTGATGAAAGCGGAGAATTCATCTGCTTTGTTTTTATGATATCCTCAGTACCTGAAACAGAACACGGCTCAAAGTAGGTGCTCAGATAAGTCTTTATTTGTTAAAAGAACTGTTCCATATATGAACAATGAAACAGAACAGCTACTGTTTTAATGATCTCACATTAAAGCATTTTGGATTATTTGGCCTTAGATATCCTTCAGCTATTTTAGGTTAGCCAAAGACCATTATTTTAATCTTCATCCTTATTTCTTTAATCAGAGGTAACAAGTGTGTTTTACTCTATTGCATGATTTTTCACTATGACATTTTATCTTTATTCCATAAATCTGTATACTAATTAGGTTTCTCTTAGGTAGGCAGCTAATCTAATCCTACACACTTTGTGGATACACTGAGTAACTATCCAACGGCTAGATGACTTCAGTAGAACAAACTATAACACTTCATCAAAATAAAAAGTAAATATTATTTCTTCTGTGACCAATACTTTGGTGATTAATAAACATACACATTTTAATATAAATGCAACAACACATTTTAATATAAGTGGTAAAACATAGTCTTCAAGATCAATATAAAGAAAGGAATTCACAGTTACATATTAGGTAGATTTCCAAAGCATATTTAAAGTCTCAAAAGGCTTTTAAAAACTTTTAGTCTGATTCGTGATTGGAAAATAACTTTAAAATTTGTAATACAGGATTAGTCATACCTCTGTTCATGAAATCTTCTAATTTTAGATTCATAGTAATCAATTAGGCAAAGCAACCTAGAAAACAGAAGATAAACTAAATTATTTTCAAAATGTGATGTTGGAGCATTTCCTATTCTCTCTGCAAAATTTCAAATTACAATGATAAACATACAGGTTATCTAGCAAGTTTATAAAAAATTTAAGTGATTTTTGCCAGAAGCAAGTATTATACTAAGCCATATATTTTATATTAATTTCAAAGGAAAGATTTTAAAATAACCACAAACATTATACCTCAAGATATTAAATGCATATTCTCCTTGTCCCAACATTTCTACCTCTAGCAATCACTCCCACGGTAATATCTGCCAAGGTTCTAACTCAAGAACAACAAAGCTGTTTATTGCAGCATTATCTATAAGACTGAAAACCCGGAAACAATCTAAATATTCTCCAACAAGGGAAAATTTAAGTAAATAACAACACATCCATACTAAAGAAAATGATGAAGGATTAGAAGAAGTAATGTAAATTTGTATTTCTAGCTACGTATCAATTTATGTAGCAAACATTACTGTCTATCCAAGATGGTATGAGGAACTCTCTTGCAGAGAGAAGCAAACACTCTGTTTTGAGTGACAATGCGCTCTTCTTCCTCCTTTGTTAATCTACAGATATCCTTTTGCAAAGAAGCAATAGTCTCTTGTTGCTCCATTCGTTTTTTCTTATAATGGTGACATTTTGCCTGTAAGGAATTTTTCAAAAAACATAATTAGGATATGCACATCTAGGACATGCTCTCCTAACAATACTGTACACGAAGCCATCTTCGCAGTTTCTATCAATCTGCTTCTTTCAAGAACTTCAATATTGAGCCTGTTTTTAAATGAGTGCCAGCTCCAGGAACATTAATATGTGATAAATACAAAAAATGTAACAAGTAAAATAGGTGTAAAATGAGAAAAATATAGCTGATAACTGCATGCATTCAAGGTTTCAGAATAAGTAAGGGAACTCAAGAATCTCCATAAAACTGACATGAGTTTATGTATAAGGTTTAGATGAAAACAATCATCAGGAAGGGACCAATATTAAGGATGTTAAAAAGAACCAGGAATTAAAATTAAGATTCTTAAGTGATCAATGATAACTTAAGATTACAGATGGTTTAATCAACTTAGGCATTCATGCAATATGGGAGACTGAAAACTCAGAGTAAGTCTCTAGCCAGGCAGTTATTAACAAACAATATATATCCCAAGATCTATACAAAGGAACATAAATCTTGGATACTCTCTTCCTTGTCTTTAGGGAAATAACACTGGCCTGCTTTTCCTTTATTCCCTAGCTTATTCCCTAGATTCTATCCCTCAGTGTCCTTTGAATGCTCACTATCAATCGCACCATCACTCTTATTATGAATATACTTTTTATAAAGCTCAGTGAGAAATCCTATCCCCATCTGGCCTGCACATTACTAAGACATATCACTTTCAGAAGAGGACGCCATGTCTAGGCACATGTTCATCTGTCCATAGTGTCAAATTTGCTGAGACTTAAGAGACCCTCAGGGGAAAAGGGGACTCAGCTTCTGGTACCATACCATCTCTCAGTAACCACAGGCTACACCCGGAATTGATTCTCTGCCTCAGTCTCATCCTGAAAGCCCGGCAGGAGCTCTACAGCCAAGTGACATGGGTCCCAGGTCCACCTCTATCTATAAATTAGCTGTGAAACTACAACTAATAATTGAGTTTTGTAAGGTTGGAGGTATAAGAGCAATATACAAGAATGAATTGTATCTCTCCTAAGTCGTTCTATGAGGCCAACACTGATACCAAAGCCAAATGACACAAAAAAAAGAACCACAAACCAACATCCCTTATAAACAATGATGCAAAAAATCCTCAACAAAATACTAGCAAATCAAATTCAGCAGCATATTCAAGGATTATACACCATGACCAAGTAAGATTTATTCCTGGAATGCAAGAATGGTTCAACATATCAAAGATGATCAATGAAATACACCACATTAACAGAATGAAGGAAGAAAAACCATATGATAATCTCAATTGATGCAGAAAAAGTATTTGACAAAATCCACACCCTTTCATGATAAAAACACTCAACAAACTAGGAACAGAAGGAAACTACCTCAACACAATAAAAGCCACATGTGAACAATCCACAGTGAACATCATACTCAATGGTGAAAGACTGAAAGCGTTTCCTCTAAGATCAGGAACAAGGCAAAGATGCCTGCATTCGCCACTTGTATTCCACATAGTAGTGGAAGTGCTAGCCAGAGCAATTAGGCAAGAAAGAGAAATAAAAGACATCCAAATTGGAAATGAAGAAGTAAAATTATCTCTGTTTGCAGATGATATGATCTTATATGCAGAAAACCCTCAAGATTCCACACAAAAAAAACCTGTTAGAATAAATGAAATAATAATAGGAAGGAAATATTTTGGGTTATTTCAATTTTCAGTAGTAAATAAATCTATATAGAGAGAATAAAAATAAATATGGAATTAAAATACACAACAATACTATAAGTTGGGGAGTGGCAAACTTGTTTTAGAATTATTGCACTGTCATGGAATAAGGTAAAAATGACAAAGTAACATTAGATTTTGAGAAGTCAAGAATGCATATTTTAATCTTTGAGGTAACCACTAAAAGAACAGTACAAATCAACTTCTTGATCCATATATTCACTACGAAGATCACTAACATTTTTGCAAAGAGGGAGAACTACATCCTGATACAGATCACACTGACTTAAACTAAAGAGTTACTTAAAAGTTTAGAAAACTATTTCCAAAGAAGCCAATACACTGGTCTAAGTACAGAAAAAGAAACCGCACTACAGAACACAGAAACTGCAAATAAAATGTTGTCTTTTGATTTCTGCATTTCTCCAGCAAACTTTCAATATACTATTATCAAATGTCTGTTGATTTCCTGGACCTCTTTGCCACATGCCTACAAAATCAATGTTTCCTTTCTCTCAATTGCAAAACATGCAGCAATAAATCATTCTAAAATTGGAAACAACCAAATGCCAAAAAACTGTGAAATAATTGTTCTTCCATTTTCCCTAAGAAAGCACAGACTGACTAGTATGGAATAGAATGCAGAGCAGGTCTGTAATGGAACAGGACAATAGATAAACACTGAGGGGCAGCAATTTCTTGGGTTTGCCAATTTTTGTTGACACTATAGAAAGTACCCTTTAAGGACTTAAAAACAAACAATTTCAATTGATCAAATTAGCACAGACAGCCTTCCCCAACACCAGGTGTCCACACCCCAATGCTAATTCTGTCTGTCCTCCTCCATTGCAGATTGGAACATGAGAGCTCCTCTGGACCAATTTGTAAGCTACATAACAAACTGCTGGGACCTGAAACAAAAAGCTAATAGCACCATAAGTGATTTATGACAGATGGAACTACTTGATAGAAAATATATGTCACTCCACTCAAACCACCCCTTGCCAATGAACCCTCAAGCATCTGTTTTTCGAAGTGCCTAAAATCCTGATAAATTCATGTCTTATATTCTAATAATTTAACTTCGTAATTATTTATATATCAACCTCTTTGAAAAGATAAATAGATATCTTCCTAAAAAAAGAACACTAGTCTCCCCTGCCCTCAATTTCCTCTGTGAGCCAAGGACCCAGCACCTTTACCACTCCTGGTGGCTGCTTTCTCACATCAACAAGTTGATGACTTAAAGGTCTTCAGGTTTCCACATGCCCTATATCTGAGAGCAAGGTCAAAATCAAACTGATATAGAAATATTTCCAAAATCTTCCCTCCCTTTATAGAGATTTTATAATGTGTCATTGATGAGGAAAGAAACCTAACAAAGCCAACCCAAAAACAGAATATTCTAATGGTAGAGGATTTTGTTGACTGATGAGTATTAGAAACAGAGTTGGCCATCAAAGAATGATAGTGTCTTCTTTGGAGCCATGATCAACACCAGCAGATGCAGCACTGCCTACCCCAAGCTGATAGCCTAAATGTGTGCAGAACACCAGCTGCCTCCATCCTTACACCAGAATTCCCTAGTATTTCTAGTTGATTCTCTCTGACCCCCTGGAATTTATATTAAGTCATCTGATCATTTCAGAGCTGCCAGCATCAACTGAGGGGACACCCAGACCCCCTGGCCTGATGAGTACTGGTCCCTTTTAGGCAGCCTGAACTCCTGTGTACAATAGGTACATACAGAGTTGGGCCAACAAAACCACTTTAAAATAAGATAATGTTTATAATGATATGATGTTTGTAAGGATCTGTAATATTTCATACAACTAAACATTTGTTATCACTATAAAATATTTATTTCTTTTAATCACAATAAACACCCAAATTTTAAAATAAGGGTTTTTTTAAATTAGGAAATCAAGTATTCAATGTTATAATACTGCTATTTCTATAAAAAGAAAAGTAACAAAACAACTTGTAATTATATGCATATGCCATATAAATATTGGGAAAATTTAACTCAATAATTCAAATATTTATTAGGCATCCAGTACTAATACTAATGCAGGCACTCTTTCAGCCCTAAACAAAATAACAAAAATATCTGCCCTCATGGAAACTGCATTCTAACACAGGGACATATACAAACAAAACAAATAAAGTATATATAGTTTGTTAACATGTTAGATGGTGGTAAGAACTATAGATAAAATATAAAGCTGAGAAGGCAATATGATGTGTGGGGCACGGGACTGCCAACCATAAGTAGTCGAGAAAAGAATCCCTGAGAGATGGTGACATATGAGTAAGGAGAGAGGGAACAAGCCCTGCAGCTATCTGGGAAAAAGTATGCATGACAGAGGAAAGAGAAAGAACAAAATGTACAAAGGCTCCAAGTGAGAATGTTAAAGGAAAATGTTCAAGGAAAAGTAAGGATGTCAGTGTGGCTGGAGTAGAACAAGCAAGGGGTACAGTGGATGAAGTCAGAAGATGACAGGGGCCAGATCATGTACACCCTTGGAGGCCATGGTAAGACTTTTTGATTTTCCTCTAAAGAAAAACAAAAGCCATTGGAGGGTTTCAAGCTACTATGCTGAAAGCACAATGAAAAAGGCAAGGGTAGAAGCAGGGAGACCAAAAGAGAAGCAGGAGAGAAATGAAGGTGACTTGGACCAGAGTGGAGACTAAAAGAAGAAAGTTTTGGGAGGAAATTCAGGAACTCAGTTTTAGACGTGTAAAGTTCTAGATGCCTACTAGACATCCAGTAGAGATATCAAGTAGGCTGCAGGATTGAGTCTGGGATTAAAGGAAGAGTTCTGGGCTACAGATTTAAATTAGGTGCTATGAATTAGATGGAGCATCACCAAGGGAGTTAGAGTACACAGGAAAGAGAAAAGGTCTAAGGAATGAGTACTGCGGAATCCCAACACTAAGAGGTTAAGGAGTCAAGAAGAACCAGCAAAGCAGTTGAAGAATGGCCAATGGGGCTAGAGGCAAACCAGAAGAAAGGATATTCTAGAACCAAGCAAAGAAAGAATTTCAAGAAGGCAACAGTGATAGGTCAAGTAAGGTAAGGATCATTGAATGAAGCAACATGGAAGTTGCTTAAACAAATCCATCTAACAACCTGTGACCTTGATGAGCTGTTTTAGTACTATCTATCATGGAAGAAAACACATAACTCAGTACCTGTAAAGCTTTATGCTCCATTTGAAGATCTTTTATTTTATTCTGTTGCTGGCAAGCCCTATTAAGGGATTCATCCTCCAATTCACCAATTTTGGATTTCACACTCTCCAAAATTTGTTCCAAGTCATTAGCTCGTTGTTCCTGGTCTGCTGCTCGGCTTTGCTCTAGCTGAAGTTCATTTCTAATAACAGACACAATCCCTTCCCTTACTAACAAGCATAAATCACATCAACACACATATCCATCTAACAAGAAAATGAAATTTCTAAAATTTCTCTGCATTCTTAAAATTTCATATAACACAAACCAATAGAAGTAGTATAGGATACCATTACATACCTAAGCTAAGCTATCACCAAAAGATTTACCTATTAAATATATTTTTTAACTTAATATTTAATCAAAACAGAAAATTAAATTGCAAGATTCTTTTCAAAGGTTATTTTTAGAAAGCATATCCTGTATACAAACAATTCAAAAGAGATTTTTTTTTTCCATTTTCATACTTAAGTTGCTGATTAGTTTCTATGAGCTCCTGGATCATGTTCTGTTGACGTGTTGTTTCTTCCACCAACGTTTTCAAATTCTGTCTCATCCTTTTCGATGACTGTTTGTCAAAAATGATGAGATCTACATTTTTTGAAATGCAATACAGATATTAAAAATAAAGGTAAGGCAATAATTTTTAAAGCAAAAGAAGGCTTTTTACAATAAACAGCAAGAATAGGATCTATTACCTGTAAGATCTGTTCTTTGGACTAGAGACAAAGGTTTTAAGCCACGCGTCATCAAGAGCACATTTATGCTTTCCCATTCTGCTTCTTCCCGCTACAATTACAAGGACAGAGAAAAGGATCAACTTTAAGATACAAAGTGAACAAACACTCTCTTGTATATAATTTCCTTTGTTTTCAGAATAACAGAACGTTTTCTCCAAAAGTTTTTTAACGTGAATTTGTTATGCACATATAATGATTAAAATTAAAACAATACATTTGTTTCTAACAAAATTAGCAGACTAAAAAGGATGCAAATAAGCACAAATAATTATATTATATACTTCCAGAATACTCATATATAGGCTTAAGGGATAAATTAAAACAAAAACACCTTGTAATTTCAGTGAACCAAACAGACCTTAGGTTTTTTATTTAACTGATCCAGACCAGGCTCCACTAAAAAGAAACAGCTGCAAATTAGGTTACACTAATTGAATAGTAAAGAAAAGGTGAGTCACTCAGAAACAAGTGCCACTTTAACAATAACTAGAGTCACAAAAAGATCAAAACGTATCTGACCGGCCAAAGTCAATAATCTAGACAGTCCTTGTATAACAGACAAGGCCCACCTCTACAAAGGAGTCTGTCCATCTAGGTAACTGATTCTGGTGGAATCACTCTGAAAGACATGCTCAAGTTTTGTCTCCCTGATTCTAAATGTGTGTTTACACCATAAACCCAAGAGGGGAAATCTAACTCTCTAGATTAAGTGAATAAAAACAACAATGGGAAGAAAAAAGTACTAAGAACATAAAATACAGGAAAGAATAGAAATAGAGATGATTTTTAAAAATGACACATTTAAAGCCATGATATTAATAGTTTTATAATGGGCTTTTAAAGTAAGTACAATAATCAATTTTGAAATCACTGTGTGAAGTGCTTTGCTTGCTTTTTAAGCCATTAAAGTATATTGGTGAAAAGGTAATTTGAGTGAGTTTTCAGTGATTAAATGCTTGAAAAAATATATAATTTATACAATAATTTTTTATTAGTAGTATAGTATGTAAATATTACAACAGTTTAAATATTAATAATATAGGCAATAGTACAAATTAAAGTATTACTCTCTTGGGGCTGGCCCCGTGGCTGAGTGGTTAAGTTCGCGCGCTCTGCTGCAGGCGGCCCAGTGTTTCGTTGGTTCGAATCCTGGGCGCGGACATGGCACTGCTCATCAAACCACACTGAGGCAGCATCCCACATGCCACAACTAGAAGGACCCACAATGAAAAACATACAACTATGTACCAGGGGGCTTTGGGGAGAAAAAGGAAAAAAAATAAAATCTTTAAAAAAAAAAAAAGGTATTACTCTCCGCACCCAAATGCCCCTCAGACATTCAAGAATCTACCAAGACAAGAAAGGAACAAATTGCTCATGACACTTGCAGCGCCAAATAAATCTTTCCTTTTGACTGCTGACTTTCCACCCCTTCTTTATCCTTTCTACACTTCTCCCTCCCAGAAGCTTTTCCCTTATTTATACTTTAGGTCTTCTGGTCACAAAGTTTAACGACACAGAACTAAAATTGCTGATATCTGTTTTAGGAGCCAAAAGTTCTGTGTGGGTATCTCAGTGGATATCTACTATGACTCATAAAAACAAAATGCTCTGTAAATAATAATGTCACACATTTTGAATGATCAAATTATACATATTGTTCTCTGATATCTCTTGGTTTTTTGTTTTTTTAGGAAGATTAGCCCTGAGCTAACATCTACCACCAATCCTCCTCTTTTTGCTGAGTAAGACTGGCCTTGAGCTAACATTCATGCACATCTTCCTCTACTTTACACGTGGGACGCCTACCACAGCACGGCTTTTGCCAAGTGGTGCCATGTCCACACCCGGGTTCCAAACTGATGAACCCCGGGCAGCTGAGAAGTGGAACATGTGAACTTAACTGCTGTGCCACTGGGCCAGCCCCCTCTATAACCATTTTAAGAGAAAGAATAACCTGTTTGCAAATTCTGAAAATAGGTGAGAATGGCATTTTCCAAAGTACGGTCATTTCCCCCTTATCCTTGGGAGATACGTTCCGAGATCTCGAGTAGATGCCTGAAACCAGATAGTACCAAACTATATATATACTATGTCTTTTCCTATACACACATGCCTATGATTAATTTATAAATTAGGAACAGTAAGAGGTTAACAACAATAATTACTAATAAAATAGAACAACTATAACAACATACCATAGCAAAAGTTATCGTAGATCTTGGCAACCTCAGCATACGATTTTTTTTTCTTTCCTTAAGTCAAGAACTTTCACCTTTTCACTTAAAGGAAGCGCTTTATGGCTACTCTTTTGCATATGCAAATTGCCAGTATCACTATTCTTAGGCTTTGGGGCCATTATGAAGTAAAACAACGGTTACTTGAACACAAGCACTGTGATAGCGCCACAGTCAATCTGATAACCAAGACGGCTACTAACTAATGGGCAGGCAGCATATACAGCACGGATATGCTGGACGAAGGGGTGACTCCCATCCCAGGTGGGACAGAGCAAGATTTCATCACGCCACCCAGAACGGGGTGCATTTAAAACTTATGAATTATTTATTTCTGGAATTTACCATTTAATATTTTTGGACCATGTTTGACTGTGGGTAACTGAAACCACAGAAAGTAAAACCACAGATAAGCAGGGTACTGGTTTGTGCTGCAGCGCTTGTCAAACAAGTAGGAAATACTGTATACTAAAGCATCCTTCTGGAGACTGACAGTATTGTGAAGTTTTAAAATAACGAAATCATTTAATAGTCTTTAACCCAGCATTTCCCAAAATTATTTTACTAAAAAATCCTTTTAAAATAAGGTTTTTTTACTTTAGTAGACGTAGTATTCTTTGGCACATACTTTGAGAAACACTGGCTTCAAATATTACAAGTTTACCTGTTTTTCAGTCATGAGTCTGTCTGATGATTTACTGGACTCCTGGGCTTTAGGGGCTGCTGGAGATAACAGTTTCTTTCGTAGCATCAAAAGAAGTAGAGTGGCAATAAAAAATTTGAGTTCCCTAAATGAAAAATGAAAAAGTACAATAGGTGTTAAAGGAAATTATATTTAAAAGAACCCACTACTTTTGGGTAATTTAAGACACTCCTGTGTAAAAACTTTTATGACTTCTTAGAAAGCTGATTTTAAGAATGATTAGAATAAAACCTACCTTATAATGTTCTCTAGAAATAAAACATTATGAGGTTTTACACACATACACACACACATAGAACACTATTTATGTATATAATGCAAAAAGCATATGATGCTAATAAATAAACTCTTATCTTTTGGAAGTTGCTTTCCAAAAACCAAAAGAATCGTGCCTGACCCAAAGTTACAGGTCAGTTTAACAATTCACTGGACTAACTCGAAAGGTGAATGGAGTACCACTTTCTTAGTGGTCTTTATTTCTAAGTAGATCAGAAGCCAGCAACAAACGATTCTGTTTGGCACACACAAAAGTTTATACTGAGTCTACCCTACCATCACTTGCTCTTGTTATCTGATTCTGCCATTCTATGGGAAAATATTTCCTTGGATTCTATGATATATAGGTCTAATTCCTCCTTTCCAGAGGCACAATCACACACATTCATTAGCTTCGCGGAATTTTAGAGCTCAAGAGGACCTCGGAATTGTTTAATCCGAAGTCTCTAGCTATTCATAGCTGGCAGGAAATAGTGCAGAGAAAGTTGTACCAACATATTAGATACTAAAACCATCTGAGACGCAGAGAGAAATGATCTTCCCAGGATTGATTAGAAGTAGGCCTCCTTGCTGCCAGTTCAGTATTTCTTCCAAAGCACCCTTCCACCCATCTGTATCTGCTTCTGACAGTGAAATCCAACTAAGCAATTTAGTAGTCACCAACAATCTATTTTCAACTAAATCTAACAACATGTTACAAATTCTCAAATTCTGCCATTTTTGTTGCTTGGCATCATAGACTACTCTCTCCTCTTTAAATTTTGGTCCTTTCAACAACTCAATCACCCACTATGTTCATCCCGCCTCCTTTATTTTAAATAAAGATCCTTTTTGAAAATATCAGGAAACGTCAGCCGCTACCACCTTTCAGCTAGTTTTTTAACTTTTCATCTAGAAGTTTTCAAAAATACACAGAAGTAGAGAAAGAGTACAATGAACCTATGTATTTACAATCTAGCTTCAATGATAAACAATATTCTTCCCTTAGTTTCAGTTCTTCCTCATCCACTTATATTTTAGTACACATCTCTAACAAATACAGACTCTCTTTAAACATAACTTCAATCCTATTATCACACACACTAAAATTAACAATAATTCCTTACTATCACTTAATATCTAGTCCATGTTCAATTTTCCCCCAAATGTCTTTAAAATGTCTTTTTATGACTTTTTTCCTTTCAAATCAATATCCGAACAAGGTCCACACGGCACTCTTAAGTTTCCTTTAATTTATAACAGTCTCACTTCCCCCACCCTTTTCTTTAACATGCCATTTATTTGTTAAAAAAACAAGTCATCTGTTTTGCAGAATTACCCACATTTCAGATTTGGCTTATTGTATTCTTATCATTTAACATATTTCTCCATCCCTTATATTTCTTGTCAACTGGCTATATGTAGAAACTCGATTAACTTCAGGTTCAGTAGTTTTTGGCAAGAATACTTCAGAGGGGGTACTGTGTTCTTACTGCATCACCACCAAGAATTAGCCTTTCAAATCAGAGTGTTTAAGTGGGAAAAATACACCCTGTTGGCCAGACATAAGGGTGGTAGACAATCCCCCAAAGAGTGTGGAGCCACATATTCTGACAATCTCCCTAAAGCCACACTGGAGCTCTTCTAAATCTTCAGAAGTGTCTTCTCCCTCCAGGCTCAAGGCCTGGGGACTCTTATCTTCTTCTTCACTTAGTTAACTCATACTTGACCTTCAGATCTCGGTTCAAATTTCCTTCTTAAGGGAAATCTCCCTAATACCATGACTAGATCAGGTCCTCCCGTTATGTGCTCTTGTAGCACTATAAAGAGTAAAGTAGAGAGGTTTAGAGTTCAGACTCCGATGGCCTGAGTGACTGACTACCAGCTTAACCATTTATTAAATGTGCAACATGGACAAAATCATTAACATCTTTGAGCCTTGATTTCTCCATATGTAAAAGAGAAAACATAGTAATAGCTACATCTCATACATTGAATTAAGTCAGACAACATGCAGAAAGTACTTAAAACAAGTGCCTGGCACAAAGAAACTGATAGATAATTGGTGGTGGTTGTTATATCTAAGTATGCTGAACAAAATGGATCTTACCTAACCATACCACTGTATACGAGACTTTTTCTACAAATTACTCTGCTGATTATCTGACACAAGTTGGTTATATAAATATGTCTAGGTAAGACTAAATTCCATGAGATAAGTAGCCTACTTTTTTGTAATGGTAGAGTAAGCAATTCTGCCTTTAAAGACAATGAAGAAAGCTGAATAAAATGCATTAAAAAAATTTTTTCTTACTAACAAGATAATGAGGAATTATCAGGCAAAAAATTGAGAGGAGGAGAACTCATTTTTCCCCTTAAGGCATTTGCCAAATCCAAAGAAAGAGCTGTGAAAATGCATGCTAAAGATCAGTCCGTTACCTGTTACCAAAGATAACCAAAGTATACAGGAAACAAGATAAAAGGAGAATAGAAACAACAGTCAAAAGAAACCAACCAACAAAGAAAGACTTTTGGTATTGTAATTATTAGGCACAGACCATAAAACAACCATGCTGACAATGTTCAAAGAAATAAAAATCAAAGCTTAAAACTTTTGGCAGAGAAATATAAACTGAAAAGGAGACAGAACAGGTGTGAAAAAGAATAAGTTAAAAATTTATAGCAAAAAAATCACAGTAATTGAAATTAACATCTCAAGTCACAGGCTTAACAGTAGACTAGAAAGAGCAAGAAAAAATTAAATGACTAGAAGAGAAGGTGGAAGAGATATCCACCTTTTTAGTTCTCTACACTGTATTCAGGAAAACATGGAAGAAATTCTACTACAAATGGAAGGGATGCATGTATAATTGGCATCCAAAAAACAGAGGAAAGACTGGAGCAAAAGTAGCATTTAAAAATATAATGGCTAAGAAGTTTTGAGAGCCAATGAAAGACACAAATCCACAGATTCTAGAAGCACAGACTAGAGAAAAAAAAATCACATCTAGACACATCATATTAATGTATAGAAAAACAAAAACAGAGAGAAAATCTTAAAAGCAATCATAGGAAAAAAGATCATCTTCAAAAGAGTAACAGTTGGAATGTCAGCTAACTTCTTAGCAGTAACAATGGAAACTAATAATGGACTAATATCTTCAATGTGCTGACAGAAAATAATCACCAATATAAAATTCTAAACCCAGTGAAAATATCCATTAATAATAAAGGCAAAAGTAAGATATTTTCAAACAAACAAAACAAATCTGACAGATCTGTTCTATAAAACATTCTAAAGGAGATACTTCATGCAGAAGATGTCACAGAAAGGCAGAGATGTAGAAATGAATAAAGAGCAAAGAAATGGGTGAGTGTAAACACACACTGACTACACAAAATAATATAATCTTTTCAAGTTTAAAAAATATAACTAAAATGCACAATAACAAAAATAAATTAGCTGGGAGTAGGGTAAATGGAGCAACAGTGTTCTAATTTTGTTTATAATCCAGAAGGAAGGTAAGGTATCTATTAATGTCAGGCTTTTGTAAATTAAGGATGCATGAGAATTTCCAGGATAACCACTAAAGAAGACAACACAAATGTGTCATTTCCTGACTAACAAAGGGGAAAAAGAAATCATGATGATGGATAAAAATGAATCCAAAAGGAGAGAAAAATAAACAGGGAACAGGTGCAGCAAAGAGAAAACACATGGTAATATAGCAGAGTTAAACTCACATTAATAATTATATTAAATGCAAACAGATCAATTGCTCCAGTGAAAAGAGAAAGACTGTCAAGCTGGATTAAAAAAATCAAACTTCATGTGGTTGAAGGAAAAAAGACATCTAAAATATTAAAAAGTCATGCAAAATATAAACATATAGAATGGTAAAAGTGAAAGAATAAAGAAAGGATTGATGGCATGGTGACAGCAGTTTTTAAATCTCTGAATTTCTACACAAAAACAGAAGCAACAAGGTAGCAAAGACAAAAACCAAAAAACAATATTTATATTAAAACTTAGTGACAAGTTATTTCCACAAACATCAAAATATAAGGGGATGGGGCAAATCACTAATAGCAACAAGAACTGTAGGGTATCAGCATCTGTGCAGGAAGACAACAAAAGCACAGGCAGCATTCTCACAGTTATGAGGACAGGAGGATTCCCCAATCGTTGGTATTCACTAATATCCACTACCGCACTAATATGAAAACAGCAGGTGAAACTGGAAAGGGTGTTGCTCTCTCTTGCTGTAAGGACTGAAGATGCTGGAAGCCTATGAACTCTCAAAATTGACATGCTAGAGCTCCATGAAGGGTTCACAATGAGAAGAAACTTCTGGGAATGAAATCAAAATTGAGCAAGACAGAGACAAGAGAGAGGAAGGCAAGGTTGAGACTAAGGTAGGATGGGTAACAGAGCCACAAAATTTTGGAAAACTGCTATATTTTCGAACACTACATAAAAGCAACACAAGAGGAAAATCTGAGAACTTTGAAACGCTTTCCTGAATCCTACCCCATTGTAAAAGTTCAGAAGGAGAGGATTCTGGGAAGATGGCAGAGTAGGAAGCAGCAGGAATGTCTCTCCCCACCCAGACAACAAGTGCACTGTTAGAATCTTTGTCTCATGTAACTATTTTGGAACTTGGAGTCTATTGAGGCTCTCAAATTCCAGGGCAGGCTTGAATGAGAATTTGTAGTTAATTTTGATCAATTTCAGCTCTTAGCACAGTAACAGCTACACGTTCCCCACACCCACCCCAATGGCAGACAGCTGTGCACAGCATACCAGGAGCAGCTTGCACTCAGTTTGTGTATCAGGGTGAGCAAAAAGGACCTGTCCTCCAAATATCAGGGTTCTGTGACCTGATCACAGATTGCTGCTTTAGATCTCAGAGGAGCAGAGAAAGAGGCAGAGGTCGTTGTTGTACCTACCCCCATTGTTATAAGCCCCTGCCACTCTTGCTACAGAGACTTCCAAGGGATTTAAATAGCCATCATCCTTTTCTTCCCTCCTTCATTTTTCTCTTTTTCCCCTTTCAGGAGCCAGACATTAAAGACTAGGACATTTAAAAGCAAATGCATATATGAGGCATTAGAAAGTCACTGCACATGTCCAGGGAAAGGTGCAGGCTGAAAAAGACCTGAGAAGACCTTAAGTTTACATTTCAGGCTGATCCTCAGCACAGAGACAGCCTACAACAATTAAAAAAAAATACAAATAAAATAAACAAAACAAAACCCAGAAAACTTGGTAAAGGAGGAGAATGTGATTTCCAGACATCACATTATTAGATTCAAACATACAGTTTTTTACAAAAAAATAACAAGGCACACAAAGAATCAGGAAAGCATGGCCCATGCAAAGGAAAAAACCAAATCAACAGAAACTGTCCCTGAAAAAAAGACCTAATGGCAGATCTACTAGACAAAGACTTCAAAACAACCATCTTAAAGATGCGCAAAGAACTAAAGAAAGATATGGAGAAAATCAAGAAAACAATATACGTAAAAAGCTTCTGAAAGGCAAAGGAAACCATGAGCAAAACAAAAAGACAACCCACCAACAGGGAGAAAATACTTGCAAATCATATATCCAACAAGGGGTTAATTTCTAAAATATATAAAGAACTCATACAACTCAACAACAAAAAAACAAAAACCTGATAAAAAATGGGCAGAGGATATGAACAGACATTTTTCCAAAGAAGATAAACAGATGGCCAACAGACACACGAAAAGATGTTCAACATCACTAAACTACTAGGGAAACTAAACTACAATGAGATATCACCTCACATCTGTCAGAATGGCTATAATTAACAAGAAATAACAAATGTTGGAGAGGATGTGGAGAAGGGAACACTCATATACTGCTGGTGGGAATGCAAACTGGTGCAGTCACTATGGAAAACAGTATGGAGATTTCTCAAAAAATTAAAAATAGAAATATCATGCAATCCAGCTATCCCACTACTGGTTACTTATCCAAAGACCACAAAATCAACAATTCAAAGAGATTTATGCATCCCTATGTTCATCACAGCATTATTCAAAATAGCCAAGAGATGGAAGCAACCCAAGTGCCCATCAACAGATGGATGGATAAAGAAGATGTGGTACCTATATCTACAATGGAATACTACTCAGTCATAAAAAAGGACAAAATCTTGGGGCCAGCTCAGTGGTGCAGCAGTTAAGTTCGCATGATCTGCTTTGGCGGCGCAGGATTCACCAGTTCAGATCCTGGGGGAGAACCTATGCATCGCTTGTCAAGTTATGGTATGGCAGGCATCCCACAGATAAAGTAGAGGAAGATGGGCACGGATGTTAGCTCAGGGCCAGTCTTTCTCAGCAAAAAGAGGAGGATTGGTGACAGATGTTAGGTCAGGGCTAATCTTCCTCAAAAAAAAAAAAAAGAAAAAGGACAAAATCGTGCCATTTGCAACAACTTGGATGGACCTTGAGGGTATTATGCTAAATGAAACAAGCCAGTCAGAGAAAGAAAAACACCATATGATTTCATTCATACATGGAAGATAAACAAACACATGGATAAGGAGAACAGATTAGTGGTTACCAGAGAGGGAGGGGGGAACTTGAAAGGGGTAAAGCGGCACATATGTATGGTGACAGATAAAAACTAGACTGTTGGTGGTGAACACAATGCAGTCTATACAGAAACTGATATACGATAATGTACACCTGAAATTACATAATGTTATAAGCCAATATTACTTCAATAAAATAATTAAATAATTTTTATAAAAAAGAATTCTACTACTAAAAAAATTGAACAAAATGGAAATATCAATAAAGAAATGGAAAACCTACAAGAAATCAAAAAGAAATTCTGGAGCTGAAAAGTACAACACAATAACTGAAATGAAAAATTCACTAGAGGCATTCAAAGGTAGATTTGAGCAGGCAAAAGAAAGAAATAGTAAATTTGAAGATAGGACAATGGAAATTATCAAGCCTAAGGAAGAGAAAGAAAAAAAACTGAAGAAAAGTGAACAGTGCCTAAAGGACCTGTGGGACACCATCAAGCAGGCCAACACACAAATTGTGGGAGTCCCAGAAGAAGAAAAGAGAGAAAGAGTGGCAGAGAGAATATTTAAAGAGACAATGGTTGAGAACTTCCCAAATTTGTTGAAAGACACAAATATATAAATTCAAGAAGTTCAGCAAACTCCAAGAAAGATGAACTCAAAAAAACCTACACCAAGAAATATTATAATCAAACTTTTGAAAGACAAAGAGAGAATCCTGAAAGCAGCAAGCGAGAAGTAACAGATCACATAAAAAAAACCCTCAATAAGATTACAAGCAGATTTCTTGTCAGAAACTTGGAGGCCAGAAGGTAGTGGAATGATATATTCAAAATGCTAAAAGAAAGAAACTGTCAATCAAGAATCTGGCAAAATTGTCCTTCAAAAGTGAGGGAAAAATTAAGACATTCCCAGGGAAAAAAAGCTGAAGAAGTTCATTAACATTAGACCTGCCCTGCAAGAAATGCTAAAGGGAGTCCTGCAAGCTGAAATGAAAGGACATCAGACAGTAACTCAAAGTCATATGAAAAAATAAAGATCTCAGTAAAGGTAAATGACAGGACAATTATCAAAGTTAATATTATTTTTTTTTAATTTTTATTTTTTTCGGATGTATAAGTTAATATTATTATAACAATGGTTTGTAACTCCACTTTTTGTTTTCTACACGATTTAAGAGAGAGAATTTTTTTAAAAACAATCATTAGTCTAAAAGTGAATATTACTGTAACTTTGCTTTGCAATGTCACATCTCATTTGCTACATAATTTAGGAGACTAAATGGATTTAAAAGAATTATTAGTTTACGGTTTGGGGCACACATGTATAAAGATGTAATTGTGTGACACCAACAACTAAAAGAGGTGGAGATGGAGCTGTAAAGGGGCGGTTTCTGATGTTAAGTTAAGCCGTTACAAATTCAAATTAGAGTGTTATAATTTTAGGATGTTAAATGTAATCCCCATGGTAACCACAAAGAAAATAGTTACTAGAATATATACAAAAAGAAATGAAAGGAATTTAAACATTTAAACTACAAAAAAATCAACTAAACACAAAAGAAGACAGTAACAGGAAATGAGGAACCAAAAAAACTATAAGACAATATGAAAAATAGAAAAATGACAGAAATAAGTCCCTTCTTATCAGCATTTAAATGTAAATGGATTAAACTCTTGACAGACTGGCAGAATGAATAAAAAAATATCCAACTACATGCTGTCTAAAACAAACTCACTTTAAATCTAAAGACACAAAGAGGCTGAAAGTGAAAGGATGTTAAAAGATTTTCCATGTAAATAATAACCAAAAGAGAGCAAGGGTGGCAATATTAATATCAGACAAAACAGACTTTAAACCAAAAAAGGTTACAAGAGACAAAGGACATTACATATTAATAAAAGGTTCAATGCATCAAGAATATATAATAATTATAAACATTTATTTACTTAATAACAGGCCATCAAAACAAACGAAGCAAAAAGTGACAGAATTGACACAGTTCTACAATAATAGTTGGAGGCTTTAATACCCCACTCTCAATAATGGATAGAACAACCAGACAGAAGACAAACAATGAAAGGGAGGACTTGGACAACACAATAAACCAACCAGAGCTAATAGATTTTTATAGAACACTCTACCCAACAGTCTTGTCAAGTGCGCATGAGACATTTTCCAGGATAGACCACGTTAGGGCCTCAAATTAAGTTACAACAGATTTTAAAAGATACGTATCATACAACGTATATTCTCTGGCCACAATGGGATGAAGTTAGAAATCAATAATAGAAGTAAAACTAGAAAATTCATAAATTTGTAGAAATTAAACAAGACACTCTTAACAGCCAATGGATGAAAGAAGAAATCACAAGGGAAATTAGAAAATACTTAAAGATTACTGAAAACAAAAACACAACAGACCAAAACTTATGGGACATAGTGAAAGCAGTGCTAAGGGGGAAATTTATAGTTATAAACATTCACCTTGGAAAACATGAAAGATCTCAAGTTAACAACCTAACTTTTCAACTTAAGGAACTAGAAAAAGAAGAATAAACTAAACCCAAAGCTAGCAAAAGAAAGGAAACAGTAAAGATTAGAGCAGAGATAAAGGAAATACAGAATAGAAAAGCAATAAAGAAAAATCAATAAAATAAAAAGCTAGTTATTTGAAAAGATAGAATTGACAAACATTTAGAAAAGAAAGAGGACTCAAATTGCTAAAATCAGAAATAAAAGTGAGGACATTACTACCAATTATACAGAAATAAAAAGCATAAGACAGTACTATGAACAGTTGAATGCCAACAAATTAGATAACCAAGATGAAATGGACAAATTCCTAGAAACACAAAACCTACCACGACTAAATCACAAAGAAATAGGAAATCTGAACAGACCTGTAACTAGTAAGAAGATTGAATCAGTAACAAAAAAATCTCCCAAGAAAGAAAAGCCTTGGACCTAGAGGCTTCACTGAGGA